TAAAAAATAAACAAACAAAAACAATCAAACCAACCCCCCACCAACCCCCACCCCACCCCACCCTCCCCCACCAACCACCAACCACCACCCACCACGAAACAAAAAAAAAGAGAGAGTAAGGGGGGGGGGGCGGGGGGGGGGGGGAGGGAGAGAAAGAAAAAAAAAAAAAGAAGAAGGAGGAAATAAGAAAACAACAACAGTACAATTATTAATAAAAAAAAAAAAATAACATCTAATTCTTTTTTTTTTTTTTTATTATATAAAAAAAATAAAAAAAAAAATAATTATTTTTCCTTTTTTTTTTTCTCCCCCCCCCCCCCCAATAAAATAAAAAAAAAAGGGGGGGGGGGGACATACATTATTATAGCTTTTATATTTAAGAACTATTTGTTTAAAGAAACGCTTGTGTAGCAAGGTGCAATAAATCGTTAGGAAGTGTAGCATGAAACGACGTGAATAATGACTTTATTGAGTTGAGGTAATTGGGATGCGCAGGCGCACTGTACCTTATTTTTAAATTTTTAAGATATTTTCCTATTTATTAACTATCAATAAGGTACACCTAACAACAACGTAACTAAGGACAAACAATAAACGGCTTCATAATTCATTTGATGATGATTCACCTTATAACCCTTCCATATAATACCTTAAAAATACGCTGTCGTCCTATTTTGGCATCGGATATTCAGAAATCTAAATTTTACCTACCTACCCTTGCTTTGTCTCAGAAAAGAAAGATTTTTAAAGTCTTTAAGCAATTGTCAATCAATCTAGTTTTTTTAATGCATATATTACAAGAAATTATTTTATAATTAAATGGCAGTGCGTTGCCATTTAAGTGATTTTTTTTTTTAATTGATGGTCGCACTTTTTATTTCTATTACCGTCCGAGAAGTACCAGAAAACTTGGTCGCTCTACCGGACGATATTTTGACAAATGATCTTGTTCACGGATAATCGCCATTTCAAAAATGTGCTCGTATCATGCCAATATAGACCACACCATAATTAAATCGCATGCGCAATTAAGACTTGACTTTTACTGTCTGTTGTGATTGATGTATTCAAGAAACGATGTGACATTATAAAGCATTAATGTATCAGTGAAATAGACATTTTTTTCTATAAGTAATTCCTACCTCTGAAGCTAGTAGACCTTTGTATCTTTGCTTTTTATTACACTTAAGAAATATTCATGTAGTTATATAAATTCCGTAATTGAATGCGAAGATGTATGTATTAGACTACAGTGGCACATGAATAACATGCAGAACGTGACGGCATTTAGTTTTTCTATTTTTATAACTTTTTATTCATATTTAAAATATTTTTAAAAATTGGGATAGCTTAAAAACGTTATCTACATTCATTAAACAGCATTTAGAACAATATAATTAGTTTATTTGGAAAAAGATATAAACAGACGTACAACAGGTGTAATTTAGTCCGTAGGTACTTCTATCAACTATTAAAATTTAAATAAAAAAAACACTTCAACGGTTTAAAACGCGATATATTAGTTAAACTTATTTGAAAATTATTTTTAACTTCGGTCCGACGTTTCGGATGCTTTGCAGCAGCCGTGGTCACGGGGAGACTGTCTCCCGGGCCGGAGTTAAAAATCATTTTCAAATAAGTTAAAGTAATATATCGCGTTTTAAACCGTTATAGTGTTTTATTTAAACGTGTACTACTCGCGTAAACTATACACAGTATTTAACTAATAAAATTTAAAAAGACGTTATTGTATAAAATACGCAAATTGTTAGACTTTTATAGTATTGTGAGATATTCTGTACTTTGTGATTAGTTCTCTAATATTGTTAAAATTTTCATTCTTAAATTATTAGTTTCCACGGCGCAATCGACGAAAGAGTTTAGGCAGACACACACGAATACAAATCTTTACTGTATTATATTAGTGTAGATGAACACTTTCCTTTGATATAAAAGATTATTCTTGTTAGTGGTTAAGCTTATGAAAACGAGCGCGCCCGGACGTCGTCAGCGGGAACTGTCAAATTCAATTATGGCGCCCATGACAATATCGCGCGGTTGCTTTTGTAAACGATGAACATTCGAAATTTGAATGTTTTATTTTTTTATTAAAACATTAGACTGTGTGTCTGTCATTTTAAACTTATTCTTGTAATAATCGATTTTATTTGTAATAGAAAAAAAAAAATAGCTACTTTTTATGTATAGATATCGTTCTTTTAAGCTTTCTCTGAAATTGTAATATAGCTTTATATTAGACTTGCAACGAATATTCGGTTACTATTCGGTATTCGGCCTATTCGGCTGCTTTTATTATATTCGGCCGAATACCGAATATCTACATATTATTCGGCCGAATAACGAATACCTAAATAATATATTTTGTCATAGAGAAATAATTGGTAAAATGAAAAATTAAAATCGATTGCTTACGTATATACTTATTCATATTTTTGTTTCTGTTATAATCATATAAGTAGTCATTGGTACATAATTGGTGGAACCCTCACGAGGAAAAATATATACTCATGCTAGAGAAGATCCAAAAAGCCTTTCTGCGGTTTCTTTACAAACACCAATACGGTTTTTACCCCTACTTGTATCCTACCTTGTTTTTATTAGGACAGCTTGGCTTTAATTCTCTTGTAAGTCGCAGATCTCGTGGGCAATTAGTTGTAGCTTGTAAGTTGTTTCGAAACCAAATCGATGATACTTATTTGAGGGAAGCCTTCTGTCGACTGTTTGTACCGAACAACTATGGCCACGCTAGAAGACACGATCTCTTTGACGTCCCGAGAGGTCGCACCTCTGCTCGCGCGTTTTCGCCGATACCACGAATTTTAACCTCACTCAACGCTCTCCTCAAGTTAAGACCCAAATGTGATCTTTTCGCAGATCACTGGTCATCAATACTGAGAGAATTGTCTGATTTTTAAATTTTGTCCTAATGTAATTGATGCATACTCTATTGTTAAGTGTAATTCTATTGTGTACAGAAGTACACAATAGAATATTGGATAGAAATCCAATTAATGTAAGTGGCTATCGCTGTTTTAATTGTCTTTATAATAAATAAATAAATAAATAATACTATAATAGTAGTAATTGGTACATAATAATAACGAGTACGTTAGAACAAAACAAAGGAGCGCGAAACAATCACGTCTGTACAAGTTTTTGGAGCAAAAATCCAGCCGAATACTTTTGCCTAATATTCGGCTATTCGGTCAGGGGTCTCGCCGAATATTCGGTATTCGGTATACTGCCGAATATACTATTCGTTGCAAGTCTACTTTATATGGTTATTTGTTTGGAAAGTGTTTCTACGGAACTCTGTTTCACCAAATTCATCAAAAACAAAATAAAACAGTCGGTAATGAGAAAATACTATACGCGAGTAGAACACATTTAAATAAAACACGTTTATCGTATTACAACGCGAAATGTTCGAATTAGTTCGGATATTAAGGACTCAGTCAGTTAGTCTCATCTCAAACGTCGGGCCGTAGTTAAAATAATTTATATAATTTAATAAGATAAACTATTATATTTCGCGTTTTAAACAGGTTAAAGTCTATCATTTATACTTTATAAATATTTCAATGTCAAGACAAATCCTTCTATATTTTAATGTTCAGCGCAGATACTGTGTTTTCTTAGAATGCATCTTTTATTTATATATGTCAATGTACGTTGGCAATTATTGGATAATTTATTAAAATAGCCTATAGTTAAATTTAATGCCGCCACAGACGAGTGTGTCTGGCAGTCGTGTACAGGCGTTTTTCACGGTTTTACACTAATTCAAAGCGACGGCTCTCCGTTCTATTCCCGGCTTGGCTTGGCATGCGAGAAGTCTTCTTCATATAAATTGGCGGTTTTAATATTATCGTTAGAATAAAAACGATATAACATTGTAAAGGAGTTTTTCTGTTTTATTTACTTTTACCTATCTATCTGTCTATGTGTGTATTTGGAGTACCTACCTAGGTTTTAAAAATTAAAATAGTTTAATAAATAAATCCTAAATTTTTACTAGGTACCTACACTCTTATGGACTAAACGCACCTACCTCCATTTGTTGCCCGATTCCAGAGACAAGCTGCAAAGTTGAATCTGCAGAATAGTAGGTAAATAAAATGGACGTAGACAATATTTTGCGTCTGCGTAACGCGTTAAACATTTATCCAAATCTTTTATAGAAACACAATGTTTATTTTATTACTTATAAATGTAAAACATTCTTTAAAGCATTGCCCGAAACACTAGGTTTACACTAGGTACTATTTATAGGATATTTTAATGACAATTCAGTTTTGTTTATCTAGCATCCCAATAATACGTGTTATTTCGTAATTTTTCACTATTCCTACATCCGCAACTTTATATAAACCTTTCCGAACCAATTACTGAAAAAACTCATCCTAATTTCCTTACGACAGTTATAAATAACAAACGGTGACGTGTCAATTATTGTTTTCGGGACCAGATTTCTTCCCGTTTTTTTTTTTCAAGGCGGTCCATGGAACCTCCACGCCCACCTTCGATCTTAAAATAAAACATGGCAACACCTCCCTAACGTCAATTTAAACTGAAACCTTTCCAACCTCCTTGTTCCTTAGAGTTCCTTTTTCTCTGGACAAAGGAGTTTGGCTGTGAACGTGTTGGTTATAATGGTTCGTAGTATTATAGAAATAAGGTTTATGTTTTGAGGTTATTTGTGGGTGTGGTTTCAAATGTTTTTTTAAAACACATGTTTTCAGGACACAAACAGCCAGAACGCGATACAAACTTCATTTGTTCGCACATTAGCATGAGTTAGTCGAATTATTTAATTATGATAATTCAATAAGTTCGTGAATTAATAAGTGTTATTGGGCTTGATCGAAGTTGATACGGACGTTTTAATTTATTCAAATAGCTTGTGACGTATTGTGAAACTGAAAAGAGTGTTCCTTCTATATAGCGTGATATTCGTTCGTTAGAAAAATTAAAAAGCTATGGAAGGAAATAAAGGTGAGTTGATAGTCGTATTATTATTTATTATTATAAGGTAAAATCCTGGTTTTATACGAAGCATAGGCAAACTCATTTCGTTTAAATAGGCAATCAGGATTTTGTACCTACGAGCAAACTTCGAATTCAAACCAAATTCAAAATTTCTTGCTGTTAACGCACTTTCTTTTAACTATTGAGCCATAAAGATGGTCAAAATCACTGTAAGATTCTGTATTTAAAATACTTGAACAACTATTATGTTATAAATGTTGAAATACATTTTAAATGTCCTATAAAAAATAATCTCAGGTTTGAAATATTATTTTTCATATCATAATGCAAATGTTATAAAGATATATATATAATATTTTCTCTGAAATAGAACTTTGTTTATAATAGATTGGTAAAACCCTAAATATTAGGAACTTATATCGTATTCTACCATTTGTTTGTACCTAAAGGTAAGCCAGACCATTCGTATTTCAGGGCTGTTTATTTCGAGTGCCTCCGATATAAAATTGAAACCATATAACATAGGTACCTACTTGGTGGTACCTAATATTTACTTAAAAACCACAAGAGTTATTATGATAGTATAATTAGTAATTAGGTCGATGGTAAAACCCACAACTACAACTTAGGCTACTAGCATATAGTTATATAAATAAATATCACAAAGAGAATTAGAAATTCTTTCTTTCAGCTTTGAGTCGAAAAAGTGACGAGTTAGAAAAGCACATAAACTTTTTACAGGTCAAGGTGTACATTTATTACTACTTGCTGTGTCAGCGACTTCGTCCGCGTAGAGTAGTTATTTTGGACATCCAAATTTGTTTTTGCAAACCCCTTCATCTTTATAGACTTGAACTGTTACCCATGACGTCGGTCGCGTCCATTTTCGTCGTTCTTGCAAGTTAATCTTAAAAGAGAGATATATATATATATATATATATATATAGCGTCGTGGCCTTTTAGATTATTTAAAGAGATAATTTAGATTAAAGATTATTTAAATCGTTTTAGCAGCGTACGTCTCGAAAACCCATAACGATGATTCCAATTCCATCCAAATTTCTTCACAAATTAAAAAAACTTAGGTACGTCAAATACGGCCTTTTAAATATGCTTTCCGATTAAAAGTTTTAATAACAACCTAACTATTAAAAGAAATTAGTTCTTCATAAAAAAGAAAAAACATGGAAGTATAAGTACATCAGTTTCGGAAGTAAGTAAAAACATTTTTAAAGTAGACAAAGTGATAAATCATTATCTCTACATATTTTTGTAAATAATAACTTTGAAGGAAGTTTTTTTTTATCTTAATTCAGTATTAACTAATACCTACGTTAATAAAATCATTGAAGACTATTAGATTTATTGGGTCTAGTGATAAAGAAATCTATTGCCGATAAAATTTTCTTTTTTTAAGTCCAAGTATGTATTATTCGTTTGATAAAGTTTTTATTATTATAATAATACATTGATTGAGATACTTGTTTACAAAATTACACATTACAGAATCCGACAACCCAAATCTACATACAGTATTACAGTATAAAGACTAAATATAATTGCATTTCTTACCACCTTTACTAAGACACCACCCGACATAGCCAAGGCGGTCTTAGTGATCCCGGGCATGGTTTATGTGTAGTGACTGATTAGACAACCTTACACCCTTCTGCAGAGGGTTAAAAAGTCAGTTTATTTATAACGATCGAAATCAAAACAAAATTTAAATAAATACTTCGTATATAAAATGTATTAGACATTAATTCGATATTCACGAAGATCGAAATCTCGGGATGCCGCTCGAAGAAGCACACTCTGTGCGCCATTGTGTTGCGGCCTTTCGGTTCGCGAAACAGCGCTATCGATTTCACAACACGTGCGATTGATTTTGCGTGTTCTTTGATACTTTCGGGGGCTTTAAAGTCAGTCTTGGGAGGTCAAGGGTATAATTTTGAGTTATCTATGTAGTCGTAGTATAGCAATAACAAAATCGAGGTTTCGATCTGTGAATCTAATATGATTCTTCTTTTTGTAAAATTTGTGATGGTTACGTTTTGGCCTGTGTGGATTAACGATTGTTTAAAACTAAATACACCTTTTCCGTATGTTTATACCAAGTGCAACTCTTGGTTACATATTCTATTCCATCCAAAGAATGCGTCTCTTGTCTTCAACACAACGAAAAAAAATTCCCCTACCTTCCTATGTACAAATTATTTCATTTAATTTTCGATTGATTTCGTTCAATAAAAAAGCCATTCAGTAAATTTTAGATTCTTAATTCCATTAACACAAACTTCGCGCAAAATAACCTCAATCCAAGTTTTTTTTTCCAGAATCTCATAACCGTCCTGACATAACCAAGACATACGAACCGAAAAGCACCCAAGCAAATACTTCAGAGAACAATCTGTACCACATGATAAAATGCCACGAGGACAGCCTGTTAAGATTACACCACTTCGCTGGTAGGCAAATCAACAACTTCGAACCGAGCTACCAGAACGATTTACCATGGTACCAGAAAGACTTACAGCGCCAATACATAAAACCGATGGACTATTTAGCTTATGAGGACATAAGACGCAAATACGACGAAACAAAGGTTGTGAAAGAGACACAAAAAGAGTTAGAGGAAAAGGAGAAGAGTGACGAAAGAAAAAAGCCGAGACGGAATCGAACTACGTTTACCAGCCAACAATTGGCTGCGCTCGAAAAAGTTTTTGAGAAGACACATTATCCTGACGCCTTCGTAAGAGAGGACTTGGCGACACGAGTTAATCTAACCGAAGCTAGAGTACAGGTAGGTACATAATAAAAACCATTACCATAACCATTAAATATTAGAATTCTATAATTATATATTAAATACGTTTAAAATAAAATCCTTAAGTACTAATTTCTTAATCTATATGTTTGATTGATTTTCTTATATCTTGCTACTTTTCTTTTTATTTTAAAAAATGTATGTCGATAATGCCTGTTTCCAAATAATATTTGAAACTAATATGAAATTTCTATGGCTGAAATTAAAAATAAGTTTTAGATAGAAAAATATATCTACCTATGCCCTCCCTTCTAAAATTTGTTTCAACAAAATTTGATTTAAAAATCAAAATAAATTGAAAATCATTTCATCAGCAGACTTACCGGCATCGTCACGTTCCTCTGTTGCCTTAATTATATATCCTTCATGTCAATAAATGTAAAAAATATTATGTTTTGAAACTAAATTCGATTTTTAATTAAGGCGCCAAAGCAGAGTAGCCTAACTGCATTTTTGATGAGTTTTTTATATTTTATAGTTTTAAAATTTATCTAAGGCAAGTACAAATTTTATATTTTAAATGTACCTACTTTATATTTAGCTAGTAGTAATAAATTTAATAAAACTTAAGTTAAACGCCATTAATAGTTAACTTATTTAAAAATGATTTTTAAATTCGGCCCGACGTTTCGTTAAAATAAGTTTTAATAATATATCGCGTTTTAAACCGTTAAAGTGTTTCATTTAAACATAATTCTTACACAAATAAAAGTACAAATTCATTTTCGCCTAAGTTTATTGCACTTTTTTTATTTTACTCTTTATTGGAAATCATGTTTTAATTGTTATTGGGCCACTCTGCGCGTAGCAGCCTCAATTTAACATACTGTATAATGGTTTATATGTTTAACATAGTTCTAATTTCGCCAACAGGTATGGTTCCAAAACCGACGGGCAAAATTCCGGCGCAACGAGAGATCGGCGCTTTCCGGCCACCGTGCCCCGAGCCAAAGTTCCCCCGAACCATTACCAGTGCCCATAGGCATCCCATCAGACCACAGACAAGAAATTCCCCGTAAAGAACCGTGGCTACATCATTTCCAGGCGAACAACTTGAACTTCAACTTAGGCCTGCCTGTGACGAATTCTGGGATCTACCAAAATGAATATTTGATGATGCAAAACGTTAGCAATAGGCAGTACGTGCCTAATAATACGTTGATGGGGCAAGGTATGGGTAACTATGGCAACGGTGTAGATAATTATGGGTCTTGTGGTCTCATCGGTGGTTATAGTGGCCCCTTACAGCCAGCCCATCACGGGTCATATAATCTCAATTTGCGTCTCCGCCCGCACGATTTTAGCATAAATAACATTACTTTATGAGATATTATACTATTAAACTATGTTAGAGTTATTTCTTGTCCAACCAGCTCTGGTCCTTTATTTTATCGTACTTGCTGCAATCTCCCTTTTGCTAAATTGCAAATGTCCATATGAGCATTGTGGGATAAAATAAATAATCAATTTATTAATACATCAAAATAGGATAATCTTGATCTCAAAAAGTATGTTTACTGGAAGTGTAGGTATATTCAGGTATTTCATATAATTGTCGTCAGGTTTATACAGGTATACTTTTGCAATAAAACAAGTGGTAAATGAGTTGCTTTGAAACAGTGACACCCGGTCAAACTCATGTCATGTCACCTTTAGTAATGATTAATTGATAATGTAAAATTACCTATGTAAATTTACCGACAACTGATTTTGTTACAATATATAAAACAATTAGAATCTTTGAAACAACTTTATTTTAGAAGAAGTGATATATCACTTATATTTTTTTTACACTGTCTATCCACTGATTTGACTTATAAAAATACAATCACAAGATAACACTTCTTAATTATTATATCTACACACATGTTCAAGACATTGTTGTCTGCTCTTTGTAATACCAAAGACAACTTATTTATGTTATCTTATTATTCAATCAAAGTAATAAGAAGTTCTTAGCCTTTTAAATGTTCAATGCACAACAAACATTTTTTGCTCCTGAAAACAAAATCTCTATACTTACAAAAATACCTTAATCGCTAAAGTCTAGCAAAACTACATAAACACTTTTAAAAATACACAAGTCTGTGACCATAATTTAAGTATTTAATACAAGATATAGATACAAAGTTTAACTTTTGAAAACCCTATCTTAGTTTTCATGTTTATCACAAAAAGTTTATATTGCTAACAGAAAAATATCTATATAAATAATAGTAAATATGTATAATACTATAAATAACATGAGTTTAAGAAAAGTTCTTTTAGGAGGAAAATCTTCTAGAACTACCTTCAAAACTAGAAAAATTAAGAAACTTTTGCACTATTTAGTAATTATAAAATTGCATACAATTTAGTTAAAAACATTTTTTTTTTCAAATTAAAACAAAGCACACAATCCAAATAAGCTGAGTTGGAAGATTGGAAATGTTTATATTGTAACTCTTTTACGCAGTTTCTAAAGTAAAATTATTATCAATTTAAGTTTAAATTTTTAACAAAATATAGTTATATTTTTTTATCAACATAATATCTTTAGTTTTAAAAGAAAAAACATAATACATTTATTTAGCTTTGTTATAACGTATTCTTGAATGAGATCATAATTTAACACATAGATTTATTTATTTACCAATCCTTACTATAGGCTTAAATTCCTGCCAAATCCTTTCAAATTCAGTCCTATAAACCTTGACAATATCTCTATTAGAGGTAATGAGGAGATTCTCCCAATTTCTATATAGTGCTTGATTCGTCCAATTTAAAGAACCCGTCATCACAAACGGTAACAAGTCATCCTGTGCTAGGGAATCTACGATGCAGAACTTATTGTGCATTATATCTGTGGACTTCATCCAGCGTACGTGGATTCCGTGCTTCTCTAATCTTTTGACTGTGGAACCCGAGGTAAAGGCCATGTCAGCGTCCAAAATAACACGCACAGCCACACCGCGAAGGTGCTGCTTTAATATTACAGTTGTAACATCAGTATTTGTCAGCACATACATACATATATCGAGGCTATGACGACTTCGGTTCAAGTAAGATAAGAACCTCTCGACACTTTCATTCATGTGCTCCTTCAGGTACTTACTAGATTTAAATTCGGAGTGTTTGTTGGAAAACATGATCACATCGTTAATTTCTCGTCGTTTTTTCGGTTTTCTTTTGTAAAATTTGTAAGCAACGTGCGAGGCGACAAAAAAAGTTATCGTGATAAGTAGGGTCTTAGCGAAGCCCATTTTTCATACAATCACGTAAAAAATCTTATCATATCTAGCGTGCTTTTATCAATAACTAAACAGTACTTATTGAGAATATAATTCTAATATTTCTCTTGTAAATTCTATCTATAAACTAACTCTTTAAGTTAAAAGTAAATAATAACATTTGGTTCGAGTTTCAAAGTTTCGCTAAATTGTTACACATAGTATTGAAAAATATCATCTATACCTGATTTTTATCTGTTTTTAGCACAGACTAACTAGAGATTACATTATTAATGTACATGTCTAGTCAGTACCAGCCACAGACTTACACACGTCGAACTCTGTGGCTGCTAGTAAATACGTTCTATAACCTGTGTTAAAAGTAACGACATAATTTTTGTGTAATTTATAGTTACCATAGTTATCACAACATACAAATACTAATATATAACAATAATAGTAGTAGTAATAGTAGGAAGTAAAAATGAAAAAAAAAACAATAATAATGGAATAAGGAGAGTTTTCATTTATGCTCATTAATTGATTGAAACTGGCAAATACTACCAAAGTAACGAAATTATTGTTACAGTAACGATTCGATCAGTCTGATACTCATGACTGAGTAACGACAACAAGCTTTAAGTTCAATTTGGAGGTTGTTTACAAGTTGCATCTTAGATACTATTTATCACAAATAAACAAATTCAAAAATTTACAGAAAAGAATTAAAGTATAACGAGAGCTCTGCACTGTGTTGAAAAACAAGAAGCAAAATATAAAATTTTCAACTAGTGCACCTATTATTTCCTAAAATTTATAATCTTGGCTAGTATTAAAAGTTTAACTTAAGAGCATTTTACAACAATGCTAGGGTATACCAATGCTGGTATTCCTGACAAATCATGGCAACCACCCGTTGCGGTACTAGAAACAACGTAAGTAAGAATATTACTAGTGTAATTTCTGCTTCTTTTCAATGTTAAAAGTGTTTGTAGTGTAATACACTCTCATGATATTTCAGCATGGGCACAATCATTGTGGAAATGTATTGGAAACATGCACCATTAACATGTAGAAATTTCATGGAATTAGTACGAAGAGGTTATTATATGAACACAAAGTTTCATAGAGTCATTCGAGACTTTATGATTCAAGGTGGAGATCCAACAGGTACAGGCAAAGGAGGACAATCAATTTATGGACCCACATTTAATGATGAAATAACACCAGATTTGAAGCATACCGGTGCAGGAATTTTATCAATGGCAAATGCTGGTCCTAACTCAAATGGATCTCAATTTTTTATTACCCTAGCACCAACTCAATGGTTAGATGGAAAGCATACAATCTTTGGAAGAGTCCAAAGTGGCATGTCTGTGGTAAAAAGAATTGGTTTAGTTGAGTGTGATAAGAATGATTATCCTGTTGATGATGTAAAGATTGAGAAGGCCTATATACCTAAATAAACGTTTTTTTAATAAGTAACCTCTTATTCAACCCCTTTAATAAATAACTACATAAATAGATTAACATTACAAGTAATTACAGGGATTAAAATAAAAAGGTTTAACGGTTTGAAACGCGATATATTAGTTAAACTGCAGCCGTGGTCACGGGGAGACCCCCCCCCGTCAATCATTTTCAAATAAATTTAACTAATATATCGCGTTTTAAACCATTAAAGTGTTTTATTTAAATGTGTATAACTCGCGTAAACTAAAGACAGTATTTAAGTACAAGGATGTTAAATGTAAAAAAAATGTTAGTACACAATTTTTTTTTATCTATAATTCAGTGATTTATATATTATATACTACTATATAGTTCAGTTGCATCGGAATACAAATGACCTATACTCGAAAGGCCACAAAAAAATCAAGATTTTTTTGTGGAAATCTTAAGTTAACTGTCCAGCATTTTTGCTAAAGACCTTGTATCCTAGTTATGGTAATATAACAAAATATATCTTTTTTTATTATTACTGATAACTTGGTCACAGTAATTTTAACTTAAGAATAAAATAATTAATAAACTTCCCTAGGCAGATTCAACAATTTTTAATAATCTGTATTAAACGTAATTCTCATGCCATTGTTTTAACTCTGCTATTTAATTACTAATGTTGTTAGGTTCAGAGTGTGATTGTTTAATGTTGATTACGTTTTTTATTCATAAATTATCTTATCTCTATGACCTTATCAGATCAAAGATCGTTTTAACTATAGTCTAGCGTAGATTATTATTGTACAAGGTTCTCGAATTTTAGTTTTAAATACATATTTTAATTATTTGCCACGAAAATGGTTGGCTGGGCTGTTGGAAGATTGGCGCTCGTAACAGGTAGTTATTTAATAAATGTCAACCCTTATAAGAATACACTTTTTCACTTATTTGGCTTGGCATGATTTAAAGAATATTAAAAAGTCTTACAAAACTAACTGATATGCCTACAATAACAAAATTTCCTAGTAATTTAGTTTACATGGCCACATGATTTGCCAGAATTAAATCAGTATTTATCTAATGATAATTATGTAATACTGTGCATGTTATCTTTCATTAAATGATTATATGGACATTTTCAGGTGCCGGGTCAGGTATTGGCAGGGCAGCTTGTCAAGTTTTATCACGGGAGGGTGCAACAGTCATAGCGGCTGATAGGAATTATGATGCTGCCTTGGAAACTATTAAGACCCATACTGCTCTGGCTTCGGGATCTAATGGTAATAACGATTATTTTTTTATGTAATAAAATCTTAAAGCAGCTTCCCAAATGGAAAATTTTATGTATACATAAAGATAAAACTATATATCTTACCAAATGTACATACCATCACAATAAGCAATTGATAATAGCTTACACCAATAGTGTATCCCTATTGTATAACATAATACCCTATTTGCTTCTTTTAGATGTAGGTGAACATTGTGCAATAGAACTTGATGTAGCAGACTCCAAATCAGTTCAGAATCTTGTACAAACATTGTCGAAGCAATACAGAGTTCCACCAAGAATAATTGTTAATTCCGCTGGTATAACTAGAGACAATTGGATGCTAAAGCTATCTGAAGAGGACTATGAAAGCGTGCTCAATGTTAATCTTAAGGTTGGCTATTTGAATTAACAATAAATTTAAGTATATGATTATAGTTTAATTGTAAAATACTGTACATAGGGGAGGGCAGAAATAATTCTTTGTCTGTCTTTTTAATCAGAAAGATGGTCATACTTCTATACCTGAACTAGATTCCATTTCCCTAGGATCAGGAAATATGTTTTTAAACTGAAATATAAATTTGTCTTATAGGTTATAAATATTTTCAGGGGACATTTCTCATCATGCAAACTTTCGCGAAAGCTATGGCTGAAGCTAAAGTGTCCGGTTCCATTGTTAATATTTCAAGTATAGTTGGAAAATATGGGAATATAGGTAAGTTAATTGTTTTTAAAGGGAAAAGTATTGTGTTGAATATTTAGTAAGTAAAGTATTACAAATCCTAAAAATGCTTTAATTTTGTATGTATAAGAACATAAATTAAATTCAAATTTAACTTTTAACCTTATGAGTTTTAGATATGCCTCTTAACTTCGTTTTAAAGTTAAAGTTTTAGTTGTTTGAAAACTTTAGTATATTTCAAATGTTATTGCACATTATATAAATTAAAAATCAATTTTAGATTAATAAAAATTTACAAACTAGGCTGGTCTTAAACCAGCATAAGACCAGTGTCAAAAAAGTATTTGATCTAATTCCCGTGCTTTTCATAACTCTACTTTGTTTTAAGGTCAAACAAACTATTCTGCTAGCAAAGCTGGTGTTGTAGCGATGACTCAGACAGCTGCTAAAGAATTAGGCAAATTTAATATAAGGTAAGTTTAGTTTATATACCTCTTTAAATGCTAATCACATTTTTTTTATTCCCCAAGTATTACGCTTTATCAATATTTCTTACTGTAACAATTGTGACATTTCAGAGTAAATGTAGTTCTCCCTGGATTTATCGACACGCCAATGGTCAAGACAGTGCCTGATAAAGTAAAGGAATCATTACTCAAAATGGTGCCTTTAGGTAGATTAGGAACACCAAATGGTAAGCTTCTTATTCCCATAGTAGGTACAGATTAATCAAACAAATATAAAAGTGAATAAAATTTATAGCAGTTCCTTTAAGATGTTAGAATTTACAGCAGTTTGGAAACATAATGTCTAAAGATTTAAACATATTTGGTGACTGTTGGTAGTGAATGTGCCACCAACACTTGTCCTCTGTAGATGTTGAGCATCTTTTGAATGATCGTCCAGAACCATTACTTATATAATGACGGGTCAGCAGTTAGTAAACCCAAAATCATTGCAAAACTGCCATATATAGTGTATGTTTGTATTCTGTCATGAAACATTACTGTAAATATATTATCTAGGTCTATAGACTGAGTCTGAAATCTGCCATTAACTGGCTTGCCAGTGGTTTACTAGTATTAGGACTCTGCTAGTAAAAAGCAATCTACAACTACTAATTTTGCATTAAAATATGTTATTCTTTTGTCTTCAGAGGTGGCTGAATTGATCATGTTCCTAGCTTCAGATAAATCTTCCTTCATTAATGGTGCTTCTATAGATGTGACTGGAGGTTACTGATAATGACAGTTTTAAGGAAAAAATGCATTTATTGCTCACACAAATAAACATAGTCTTTGAGATTTTGATACTTTTTGGAACGTTATACTTTTATACAATTTGTTCAATAACACATGTATATAAATGTCAGATTATTGTTAAATCGATTTTTAATAAATGTTTTATAATTTTTTATAGTTATTTCTATTATTGAAAGTTAGTTTTTTAATATATATAATGATATTAGTATTTATATGGTCAAACATCTAAAAAAGACAACAACAAATAGACAAAATTACTTTTTCCCTTTATTTGACTTTGACTTGGCTTTATTTTTCTTTAACTCATCCTTATTCTTTTGCCGCTTGTCTTTCATGAATGTCTTGTATTGTGTTTTTCTTTTCTCATCCATGATTTCCTTGTATTTCTTCTTATTGTATTTCTGGAGATCTGCGTCAGCTAGTAGTTCATCAACTATTGTTCTTTTCCTTTGTTTCTTAGTTAATCTTTCATTTACATGGTCTAATGGAGAGTCCATAACTTTACCAACCTGAAATATTTGAAATAAACATACAATTAAAATTTTAGGCTGTAAGTGCACCTTAGAAAATTAGGTAGTGCATATCCCTACAAGTGTAAGAATATGCACTACCTAATTTTTCTAGGATGGCTTTATTCTTTAAATATAACATACAATGTATGACAGTATTTAGAACTCACCTGGAAGTACTTAGGTAACACTTCCATATCATTTTTCTTGTAGAAATGTTTAGGATCAAGTGCCGATCTCATTCTCAATAACTGGAGGTCTCTCTTCAATTCAGGAGTTAGTTCTGGTGCAGCCATATTAAACCAGCCTCTTCCTTTGGTTTTTAACCTTTCTGCCTGAAAAAAATATACACATTGGATTATTTTAACATTGAAAAATCCATAGTTAATGTATTTTAAAACCATGCCATAATGAACTTGTTGATTTAATGGTAGCGCTATATATATATACAATGATTGATGATAATCAACAGGTAGTGGGTTCAACACTGGGCCTAACATGCTTCTAATAAATTTTCTGAAACATATTGGACTTTGTCAGGAAAAACAAGATTCTAAATATCTGGTAGGAATATGGAAATTCCGTCCAGGTCATGAACCAACATCTATAGATGAAAAAGCAGTGAAGTTCAACTGTATTTTGGGATTAGTCTGTGGATTTCCCAAAGCCAAAATAGGTTGACAGTACATCTGTGTTAAATTACCTTCCTTCATATAAAACCTATGCTTGTCAGTCTGTAATGAAAGATAACTTACCTTTCTTAGTTTACGCAATGTCTTGTCACTAAGATTATATTTTGGCAAGGTATGCTCTTGTTCTATACCAGGTTTTAGTACAGATCTTTGCATTTCTTTGTCAACATCTACAGAGCCAATTTTAGATTTTAACTTTCCCGTTTCTTTGTCTAGCTGATCAAATTTGAATAGGGGTTTTTTTCTATTAAGAGCTATTAATGAAGTCCACATCATATCATTGAAAAACTCATCATAGACGCCGTCTATTTTTAGGTTCTTTAATTTTCTGTCTATAGCGTCTTCAACAGCTATTTGGGCGTCTAATTCTTGCTTCTTTTTCTCAAATAAATCCAAAATCGTCTGTGTCTTTTCTTCAGTATCTGTTGGATTTTTTGGCAAATAAATAATATATTATACCAGACAGGTATTTAATGATTTATATTATATAAGTTCACCATAACGCCAACATCACATAAAAAATAGAAGTTGTGCCTAAAAACATAAATACTAACCTATAAAAAGTTTATCAGCTTTTAAAATGAGTTCTGATTTATCCTGGAGATTGTCGTCTCCAACCGTGTCGACGATAAAATCCATTTTTATTCTGAACAACTCTCCTCTAGCACAAAATTATTTAGAGAATTCTCTAAATGTTTTCCCAGCATTAATCACACGTGAATATACACATACAGTATATTCAATATTGTTATTGTGAGAAATGAGAATTCTTTGCCATATACTTCTGACAGTTAACTATTAATGTCAAGTTGTCAAAACAAATCGTAAGTGTCACAATCAAATTATTTTCTTCTATTTGTGGCAAGAAGAATTAACTATTTGCCAGTGTCGAATTAAAAATCAAACTATTTTAAATATAGATAATGTCGACAAATAACAGCTTCTTACAAAAAATAAAATGTATTTTTTTATTTCACAGATACAATTTGAGTAGTTAAACACACATGCCATAATAATTTTCGATATATTACGGAGTTTAATAAAATAAAAAAGTAAAACCAATTATTTCTTATTTTATGGACTATTTTCTTTCTTGATGTTTTTAAGATTATTTTTGATTATCTTCCATAACCCCACCAATCCAGTTCTTATAATAAACGAGGTTAGTGAAAATGCTCGGTATTTTCCGTCCACATGTAGGTGTTGATACTATTGCTATGACAACCTTTTTTGCGGTGTCTACCATTGGACTTCCATAGTCTCCCTGAAATAAGTTTTTCATTACAAAAAGTGAAAAATGTCCACTGGAATAAAAAACTTTCCTGATTATCTGAGAAAATTGGTAGGCATTTGCAAGATTGATGCCTTAATGTTCTTCATTAATAAGATATTTCTATTACCCTCGAAATGAACTTACCTTGCAAACATTTGTTCCTGGTTTGTCACCGAATGCACAAATTTGATCTTCAGTAACCTTCCGTCTCCTATTTTTATTACACTCGTCTTTAGATATGGTAGTCATATTAAGAGCTTGCAAATGATTTATATTATCAGAATTCATCTGAAAGAAAATATGCACACTCAGTAATATAACTATGATAAATATTAACCACACAAATACAATCTTATAACTTTAATGTGACACAATGTTATATTGTGAAAATAAAATTGTGTCATATAAAGGCTGTAAATATTTTTTGAGACAATTTTGCCGACCAAAATAATTGTCTTTGTATTTTTTTCTGTCTCTAATATCTACGTAAATATTTCAATTATAAACCATCTCACAGCCGAACTTTCGGGCCATAGTTAACATAAGTTAACGTAATGTATTTTTATGTAACGTAATGTAATTAAAATGTAAACTACAGACGCTACTCAGCTGACCATCTTTAATTACAAATTAATACACTCCCCATAGTGTGTACGGATTTCTTTCTGGAATTAAAGACATATTGATTTCCTTACGTCAGATTGTCCAAAACCTGTCACCAGCAAATGAGCGCCGGGCTCCGTGACAAAATCTGGTAGCTTGATGCTGCCAATGTACTTATTAAACTGCATTTCCTTTGAAACCCTCACGAGACTTATGTCATTGTAAATAAAGGCATAGTTTTTGTGTATGATAATCTTGTCCGCTTTGTATTCTGGATCTCTTATATTCAAGTTGAAGATACCAGGCCGGATAGACACATCAGAGGGATCACTTTCACTGCAAAGAGATTATTTCTTATTAAACTTACCACGGCTTATATCCAATATAAAGGAGATGATGAAAGGAAAAAAAACTCACTAATTTGCTACGCATCGAGCTGAAGATAATACCCATTTAGGGTCGATTATTACTCCACCACATACATAAGCATTGTTGACATATATAGCAGCCATATATGGAATCGGTTCTTCGACATCAGTGCCTCCCTTGATCCCTACAAATATTAAAATAATAACATTTATATGACAAAAGGCAGACGAGGTTTAGGTTGTCTATTAAGGAGACAAAATGTTCTATCGTCGTTTAAATGACGATAACACCAAGTAGTTAAGTACTTTGCGTCGAGCGATGTTTTATAGTTTAAAGCCTTAAGCTATAAAACATCACGCTACGACCAATATGACCAAATAAGCAGAGGGTAATGTGGAAAAAACGGGGGAAGTTATTCATTAGGAGTTCCTGTTACGTGCGATGTGATAACGATTTAATACATTGATTTTTGGTTTCTTAAAGAATTTTTCTTCTTAAAATACTAAAAAAAATGTCCGCAACAATATATGCCCATCTTTTAAGATTTACTCGTAAGGATGACTGGGCGCGACACGCTTGGGGACGCTAGTTTTATTAAAAAAGTTTGTATAAGTTCAAATGTGAAAATTTAACTGAAAGCAATTTTTTTAAATTATAAAACGTACATAAAGCAACGCACCCTGTACCTCAATGGTAGAGTTAGTGTTTTGTTTTATTTTTTTTTTTATCTACACTCTATAGATAATAACAATAATTATAAATAAATTAAATTATTAGTATAATTGTTAACAATTATAAGGAAACTTTACTAACCCAACGAAGTATCAAACGATAGAAAGAATATAACAATTAAAGGAAACATAGTGTCACACAGTTATTTGTAATAATGGTGATATAATCAGCAGGATGTGTTTTTTATACTAGCGAAGCTAATTATAATTTTTCCAAAGAAATGTAATGCATAATTACACGGTATATATTATACACTATTTTAAAAATTATAACGACACGCACATGTGGTATGTATCTATTTTCTGGGTTTTGAACATGTGCTGACGGGCTCAAAGATAGAATGTAGGTTGTGTACAACACTACTACACTGGTACTGGACCGAATAGCGCATTTCCTAGATTCGCAATCTAAAAAATGTCCACGAAGATAAATATCTAAGATTAACTTGCAAGAACGACGAGAAGCAACCAACGTCGTGGATAACAGCTTAAATTTATAAAGATAAAGAGGAGGTTTGAAAAAACAAATGTGGATGGACAAACCATTCTACGCGGACGAAGTCGCTGACACAGCTAGTGTCGTTAATATGTTCATTATAATACATTCAGTACTTTAAGGAAAGTTTCATGCCTACATACTGACGAAATATATATTAATATTATAAAGAGATAGATTTGTAATTTTGTGTGTGCATAATGGGTAATCCCAAAAACTACTATGCTGCTTAAAAAAGTCTTTTATCATTGGAAAGCTACACTAACCCAGAGTCCATAAGCTATATTTATTATTAGTAAAGATTAGGCATCCTTACTAAGACTTAAGTAATGTAGAGCGGAGTTACTAAAAATTAACTCGAGTAAAGTGGAGAGAGTGGAACAACGTTGCTTCCTTAGAAAAATATCTTATTGTGACTACTTCCTAGTACTGAAACATAATTAGTTTTTTTTAATCATGACAATGAAACACTAACCCAAAAAAGGTCCTTGAATCGCTGGAAATTTATATTAAGATGATGATATGATGTTTCATTTCAAATATTTTTGTCCGTAAGGTAAATTAAGGGTTGCAGGAGGCTTGATTCAAATAAAAAATGCTATTTCTACGTACTTTATAAAGATATTTTCTATGAAATTGGAGGATAGACAGCGATATAATATCGAAAATAAGATGTGCTCTCAATCTATTTTGGATTTGGATATTCGGAATCCACCGACTGACGCCGAAACGCGAATAAACTACACGGCTTTTTCATCTGTGGTTCATGACCCAGACGGGATATTCTTACCACTCATTTAATGTTCGTTGTTACAAACTTAATGCATTTAGTGTTCCTTTCAATTAGCCAAAGATTTGTGTTTAACCAATGAACGACAAAGTCGCATTTTTACATCGTCCATTCCTACATTTTGTCGTTTTACAATTAATAAAAGTGAAATATCATCAAAACAGTATTATTTTGTGAAGTTCATTAACATAAGTTGGCAAATCATTAATTTAAAGGAATAGGAATGGTCCAAGTATATACCCCTGTGGTGCGCCCATTGTTACAGAGAATCCTGCTAGAATAGATTTATTTACATATATACTTTTTGAATTCTAGATTATAATATTATTCCATAAATTTTAACGCTTTTCCATGATGAACTCGATAATGTTTTTTGGATTCAGTGAAATGCTTTTTTGAGTGAGATATCGCAAAAGGTCCAATGGCATTATTGGATCTTTCCCAGTCGTCCAAAATTCCGGTGGGGATCGAACTCACGGTCCGTTAATTATTAGCCGTACATTGCTACCATTAAAACAACGAGCCAATAAAAAGTTTAGTTTTAAATGAGAAAAATATTACTTAATTAATGATAAATAATCTTAATTAAATTATTATTTCTTGGTTACTGTGTACTTACTTTGTTACTATGTACTTTCAATGTTACATGGCAGATTTTAGGTCTCCTTCTCCATCACTTTTTAGTTTGGTTTAGGCGCCACCACTCTGTTAGGGATGATATGGGGTAGACGGACTTTTATGACTATTAAATTAGTTTATTGCGGGACGCAAGCGACAGTTTTATGCTCTCTGCATCCGTGATAATGCCTACTTCCAAATTTGGAGGTATCTCTATAATTTTCCTGATAACAATTTTAAATACTTACCAAAAAATCCCGACCTAGAGCACCTGATAATTAAATACGTAGTAATGTATATCTAATATTGTACATTATATTATGTTAAAGGTTTGATTAGAAAACAAAAAACTTTTTTCTGTAATATAATTTTTTACAGTACCGTGAATTTACACTACTTATTTCTGGACAGATAAAAGAAAATGTGTGTTATTCTTGATGTAAAACCATAGACTACATAAGAGTAAAGCACTAACAGGCAACTGTTATTTAAGTATAAATATGGGTACAAATCATAATTATTTGTAAATCAAGTACAAAAAAATTTACGTGGGAACTATGTCCTAAGGTGAGGTTCCTATCTATCCTATCACTAAGGTTTAAAAGGAAAAGTAAAGCGTTATAGTGTATGGTATGTATTTTTAGTATACAATTTTAATAAACTTTTTATAAGGGGCTAACTGTAGCAGTGCTGTCATCTGTGGGTTCGGTAGTCGTTGTCTTTTCCTCCTTGGCATCTTTAAGAATACCCAGTAGGCCTTTTCTACCTGTAAAAACATCAAATTTAATTTAATAAGCTTTCACGTGAAAATATATACAAGTCATCAAATTAATGTGTAAAAATTAATGTACGCTTACATCTTTAAAACTACGCAACGGTTCTTGATTGGGTTTTTATAGATAGAGTGATTCAAAAGGAAGGTTTTATATGTATAATAGGGGCATAATATTGTTGTAAAACACTGATTAATTTAGAGGCTTCTTTTATGTAATAGCATTTATTTGGTGAACTCCACGAGATAAGCCGAAACAATGTACTACATTGTATTGTACACCTTTTGGTCAACCTAAAAACTGCAACGGCATATGTTTTTTTTAAGGATCTTCCACAATAACCATTTTTATCCTTAATATTTATAGCCGTATAACTTTTTTAAACATTAATACTTATGTTAGCCCGGGGCATCTAATACCAAATAGAAATTTCCAACATATTAACGTTTGCCGTGTACGCTAGAGCTAGACTAAGAGTAGCCCGTGGCCTTGGCTCGGACCACCCGAATAAGGTATTCGAAAATTATAATTTTCATTTAAGAAGAGAATTATAAAAGCAGTTGTCGACATTGTAATGTTTAGTGGTTGTAGAATATAAATTTCATAGACATTAAACTTTTCTACGTTTGACCGATTCAAATCAGACGAACTATTTCATCATATCAGAAGCTAAAAAATTCTTAATTACTTACCCATTACTCCCATCATGAGCAGGCACAGGAAAAAAAGAGTTTTTAAGATATTCATCTTTAGTCTTTGAAGATAAAAATGTCACTAGACCTCTCATTTTTATACTTTAAGCTATTTACCCTTCTCATAAATAATAGGAGCTGGGTCAATATAACTAATGTGGTTATTTGAATATCAATAGAGCTATAGGGTTCTGAATTAGATCACTTATTAATGATAGTTTCTTCCCGCGGCGTTACTTGACAAAGAGGCTAGACAAACGTGGAGTCGATTCGATAAGGAAATCTAGATTTTCCCCGAGAGGCTCGGGGCAGACGAATTTTCGCTTCACTAATCGATTTTTATTTACAGACAAATAGATCACACTTCTACGTTCGATCAAAACAATTTATTGTTTCCCCAGAATTCGAACCTGTGGGCTTCTAATGGTTAACATGCTTTGAAAGTTGAACCATCTAGCTACAACGGACATTCGGTTTTATTAGATAAAGTGTGGTATTAATTTCTTTATTGTCAAATAAGTTAAGAGGGCGCCACTAGCCATCCTGAATAAGGATCCCGCGAGATAAGAAATATAACCTAGCTATACTATCTAAGTTTTGTCTAAACAATTCCCTTAAGGAACTCTAAATTTCAAAAAGAAATGAAAAATAAACAATTACGTGTCTAATTAGAAATTCAATGATACTCTATTTATCTTATGAATAATGGTTTAGAATTTTAATGTATACATATTTTAATTTTAAAATAAGAATATCGGGTACATACAATGCAATTTACACATAACTAGCAGTCGGCACTGGCTTTGCACGGTTATTAATTAAATATTTAAAAAGTTATCACACACACACAGTACCAAACATTATTCATTAAAATTTTTGAGCAAATAATTAAAAAAGTTAATTTAGAGAAGAGAAAACTCAATTAATAAATATTTGTGATAATTCCTTAAAATAAAGTTCTGTAAGTTTTAAAGTTATCGATATTAGCCACGGTATCTATCGGTTTTAAATCGTTTTATTTGTTTAGGAGTTTTTAGTTTGTAGTATTGTTTCGTTTACACTATAATTTCTATGTGACAATATAATAGCTCTACAACACAACCAAGCAAAGTCCTGTTCGTGTATTTAGCCTAGAGACTCGTCCAAAAGGATGTTTCTATTACTTTTTAACTCCGGAGTGGGGAAATTGCTTCCCCAAGTTTAAGCAGTTAATGCCACCGTGTCGCCTACATCGCTTACTACGGTCCTGTCATTTTTACATTCAACTTCCTTATTTTTATTTTTCTTTAATTATTAATTAAAAATAGTAAATTTTTCCTCTATATAATATTAATATAGTAGTTTACTCAAATTAAACGTTAACGGTTAACATCCGTAATGCCGGCTCCAGACTCTCGCGAGGCGCCTCCTAGAGGCTCTCGCCACAAGTCTTCGCGAGCGGAGACTGCACGAGTGCTAGTCATCCACACTCTCCATTTTATTTAATTAGTCGTTACGTCTAGTGCAAAATGGACGACAGCAGTCAACATATAAGTAAGCGAGCGGGAGAGTGTGGTTGACTCCCTCGCCTCACGCTCTTGCGTCCTTTGACTCGCGCTCGAAATACCGACAGAAAGCGCAGCGCTAGAGAGGCGAGGCGAGGGGACTCTGTTCCGCGTTCCCTCGTATCGCCTCGTAGAGAGTGTGGATCGGGCATAAGATATTTATTGCCCTCATATGTATGCTGTTGTAAAGTGTAAGAAACGTCGTTTAAAAATATATTAATGAATTTACATATTTATATATACCCCAATCTTACAGATAAAAATCAAGTCAATACTTCGTCTTAAACTTTAAACAATATATATTATTAATATATATATATATATAAATATATATTAAATATATATTTTTTTAACAGTTAGTGTTACTAAAACGTTTGTAAAAGCAAATTATTTCTTGAAAGTTTTATTGTTATAATAAACGAGAACATACGGACATATGAATCACTTGATGGAAGATGAAATATCCCAGCCATATAACATCTAAAAAAGTTGCATCGACATCGATTTTGCCTTAAGATATTCGAAAATCTACAGAATGCCAGATATGTTTTAGAAAAATTATAAATTGATTAGGCAAGACCCGCTAATTATTAGCCATACATAAGACTAACGTGTCCGTTTGGAGGGCAATTCTCAACTAAGTGATATTATAAATAAAACACTTTTAACGGATATAAGCTGCGAAATATATTACTTAAATTTCAAGGTAAATATTGTACATATGTACATATACTGTTATAGGAAGTGGTCTCTTGTTTTAATTAATTGGTATTCTATTATGGAGTTATTTAATGACATAAACTTATAAATAAAACACTTTAACGGTTTAAAACGCGATATATTAGTTAAACTTATTTGAATATGATTTTTAACTTCGGCCCGACGAGACCCGTCTCCCCGTGACCACGGCTGCTGCAAAGCATCCGAAACGTTAATGTGTTTTATTTAATGACAGTATGACATAAACTTTCAATTTTATTTATTTGTATGTCTATATTAGTTGTTCGGATTACAACATTTCGCATGCTATACACGTTATGTTTAGTTTAGTTATGATACATAGTATTATGTTCATTGTTTCATTTTCTTCTGTATCCATTCCGCAAATTCGGAAACTCGCGCGAACACATCTGGTTTTCCCCGACCACATGTGTTTGCCCACGAAGTTATCCCTACCAGTTTCCCTTTGCCAACTAGCGGGCCCCCGGAGTCGCCCTGAAAGACAAATTCCATGATTACAATAAATAAAACTATCAAGTCGCTTCAATTTGACCTAATGTATTCATGAATGTTAAAAATGGCGTCAGTTTTAATATAGGAAAGTGTTGTTCTAAGGGACGAATCATCGCCTCCCCAAACCCGGTACTGGCTCCTTGGAACACAATACTAAGAGTCCTTCAAAAAAAAAATAAAACATAGTATGATTTGTATATGTCCAGTATCAGCGATACAGACCCTAAGATTATGTCCGCCACATGTCCCAAAGGAAAAAGGGATTGTATACAATTATTAATATACGTTAAAACTCTATAACACGTTGTCAGATTGAAACAATCCATGTTAGTATTATTTAACGTACGTAAACATTTGTTTAAACTTAAAAAGACTCAATTTTGTTTCCCCCTGTTTGACAAGGGGCCATTTCTGTGTCCGTTTTACTGATCGGCTCTTTTACAGGCAAGTCTGATTAACTTCTGTGCCCTGCCAACCGAAATAATCGTTCCGCCGGGATTCGAACCCAGAAACTCTCGCGCTTAATTCAATACTAAGCAACACGTTTAACCATAAGGCTACAGAGCTTATGGTTGACTCAATTGAGTTATTAGTCCCAGTACCATCACGAACTGTTCTGAATGGTAACAGTTCGATTCTGTAATGTTAAAGCCAAAACATGGGACTCGCGAGGCCCCCCCCAAAGGGGCCCCCCCGGGTTTTTGGGGGGGGGGAGACTACAAGATAGCTACATCAACTCTCCTTTTATTTAGTTAGCGTTACGTCTAGTGCGAGATGGACGGCAGCATTCAACAAATAAGTAAGCGAGCGGGAGAGTGTGGTAGACCCCCCCCCCCCCCCCCCCCCCCCTCTTTTTCCCCCCCCAAAAAAAAAAAAAAAGAGGCCCGGCGAAGGGGGGGGGGGGGGGAAGGCCCCCCCCCCCCCCCCCCCCCCCCCCCCCCCCCCCTCCTTTTTTTTTTTTTTTTGGGGGGGGGGGTAAACTAGTAAACAGCACTAACAATGCTTATATTATATTATTATTTCTCTATAGCTCGATTGTAATACTACTTACATAACAAGTTGCTTGACTGTCAGCTTTGAATGTGCATATATTCTTTTTAGTAACTGGAGTTTTATAGGTCATTTTTCCCAGGTCCCTTTTGCACTCGTCATTGTTAATAGATTTGACTGTCACTTTTTTTAATTGGGTATTTTGTCTTTTGTTGTTGCCCTATAGTAACATAGAATTTTAGAAAATATACATATTAACATTCGCAGTGTCTTATCTATACTAATATTATAAAGCTGAAGAGTTGAACGCGCTAATCTCAGGAACTACTGGGTCGAATTCAAAAATTCTTTTTGCGTTGGTTAGAACATTTGTCGAGTGTAAAACATCTCGCAGCGATTAGGAGCAAAAAGACAGTGGGAAATGTGGACAAAACGGGGAAAATTAGTCATCTTCGATGCCGGCTTCAGACTCTCGCGAGGCGTCTCCTAGAGGCTCTCGCCACTAGTCTTGGCGAGCGGAGACTGCACGAGTGCTAGTCATCCACACTCTCCATTTAATTTAGGTAGTCGTTACGTCTAGTGCAAGATGGACGCCAGCAGTCAACAAATTAAGTAAGCGAGCGGGACAGTGTGGTTGACTCCCTCGCCTCACGCTCGTCTACTCGCGTCCTTTGACTCGCGCTCGAAATACCGACCGAAAGCGGAGCGCTAGAGAGGCGAGGCGAGGGGAGAATTAACTTTCAAGAAGGACGGGACGCAACTGAAGTTTTGGGTAACACTTGAGGAGCTGATGAGGAGGAGCTATAATTTATAAAATTAAAGATTTTAAATTGTAGATTTGAAGACCTTGTATGCGACTCAAATGGTATTGATGTTTTGTATTTAACACTGATGCTCTGTGAGAAGTATGTGATTTTGATTGAATTGATTAGCTTTCGACATTAGCTTCGCTTAATAAAGGTAACCCAAAACAAGACCACCCATATGGTGTGATGTCTTTTCAGAAACATTATGTCCATGACAACAGTTAAGTGATGTGCTGGTCATATTACAGTTAGTAGAATATTCATTATAAAAGCTTTAAACAGAGAAACTGTTGCCATGGTAACCATTATTTTATAGATAGCTAATAACCAATTAAGCAACTAAGAAAGCCGTTGTATTTTTTAAGCATATCGTTATAAGTCGTTGTAAATTTTAAGCTATTCACATACAGAACTCGACCTTACTTTCGTGTTGTTATTTCCCCATCCTGCTACCACTAAATCGACTCCAGCCGGCGTGTACTCAGTGGTCAGGGGTATACTAGCAACTTTTCTGACATTCTTGATGGGCTGGTTCAATTTCAGCAGCGCTACATCATTTTGTATTCTATCGGGGTCATAATTCTCATGCCTGATGATTTTAGATACTCGGTAATGGAGGCCATCGCTCCAGAGTTGATTCGTTCCGACAACAACCACGAGTTTTTCCATCTTATAGCTAAAACATACATTAGTAGGTATATTTTAATTTAAGTGCGATGTATATAAGGCTTGCAAATAGTGTATTCAGCGTACCGAATAACCGAATAATGGATGAGGGCCCTGACCGAATATCCGACTATTCGGTAAAACAATTACGTCAGATTTTAGCGTCGGTTTCCGCCGCCCCCGCGCGCCCACATTTTCTCGATTTACGATGATAATGATGAATACGCATATTATATGCGTTACTTGTCTAACATAGAAAATGGTTATGTACCTATGTTATCAATGATTACTTATATGATTGTAAGAGAACTGAAAAGATCAATTTACATATTTATTATTTTTTTTTTATCATCCAGTCCGTATACGCAACTTAAGTAGTTCTTGGGCTGAACAGTATAAAGGATTCCGAATACCCAAAATTTAAAAAAATAACAGAAAACAGTACCTAAACTAAATAAATAATTAATTCACAAAACATAGAAATTATTAAGGTAAGATGGAGAATGTTTCTAATGTCAAAATAATCGGCTACACTAGCACCATCTGCTTGGTCCTTACAGAACTGACTCACGGTTTTATTCACCGGAGTGGCAAGATGGAACACTGATAAACAAGACTTACCCAACACTACTGAAAATACTTGAGTGATATACCTAGTTGTACAGTGCGCTGCCGTCAGCACCCAAATCTGTGACAAAATGGCCCCCCCACAAAAATGTTCCAGTACATTCTTACTACTTATCACCCTGAGAGAAACGAGATATGGAAATTCACCCTCAGCTGCTATTGTGCCCCCAATTAATTTTTCTACGGCAGAATTCTCGTGTCCTAAAAAAAAATATAGCGTTCCGCGAGATGTTCATTTTATATAGATTTGTAACTGAATTCCTGTGCCATTCTTTCTTTTATACTCACAATAGATTAATACGAATTATTATAATTCCTTCACTATCTTGTAAGAGTGATGGAGAACCATAAATAAATAATTAAACATTTAAAAATCGAAAATAAATTGAACATTTTTTCGACTCGGGCAGGACTTGATGCGGCATCGTCAGCGTTCCGTGCTCTCTTGCCGGTTCAAGCCCTGCCCGAGTCGAAATTTTTTTCAATTTATTTTCGTATTTCAAATTGTATAGTGCCTTCATGTGCAATAACATGTAAAAAATAATAAACTTTCATAATTAAACATTGTTAAAATGACGTAACTTGTTTTTGGCGTGGCACTTTAAAATATTTCAGAACAAAGAACGACAGATAAACATGAGGCTGATTTGAGGCTTGTGTCACTTCCTCTATCATTAAAAAAATGAAGTGAATCAAAAAAGTATGTTTTAAAGGATTTAAACTATCTCTCGATTAACTCGACCAACAGGACTTCAGGGCGATATAAATTCGACGACAATTGACTTACCTCGTCCACTAGCGACCAAAACAGTAAGAATAGCTAAGTACAAAAACATCTTGTCTATTCAATACCATATAATAACTGATAGTAGTTATATAGCTTTGGCGTTGCTGTTTAAATAACAATTATTTTTATCGCCAGAAATTATAATTATGTACACTTATATTATAAAGATTATATTTGTGTTTTTTGTGCGTTTGTCTGTAATGGATAAACTGAAAAAATCTGTGTCGATTTCAAAACTTATAAGATATGTTCATCTTAAGTTATATAGCCTATATATATATATTGCTAGAAAAGAGTTAGATCTATAAAGCTTAAGAGTTTGTTTGTTTGAACGCGCTAATCTACGGGTTCAAATTGAAAAAAATATATATCGAGGAAAGCTATAGGCTATGAAACATCTCGTTGTAAATAATGGAAGCGAGGATACAGCGGGAAATGAGAACAAAACGGGGGATATTTTTCATCTCTATGGGTTTCTGATGGGTACGCTGCGAAAACAGTTCAAGACACCCATAAAATATGTATTGAGGAATGAATCTCTTTAAATAATTTATAAAATGTCCGCAACACTATATGTCTATTTTTTAAGATTAACTTGCAAGAACGACGGGACCCGAACGACGGGTCGCAAGCGACGGGACGCGACCGATGTCGTGGGCAGCTTAAATTTATAAAGATGTAGAGGTTTGCAAAAACAAATTTTGATTCCCAAAACGGCTATTCTACGCGGACAAAGTCGCTGACACAAGCTAGTTAGTTATGTAATCCAAGATGTAAAAACATAAGAAAAAGTAACATTTGTCGCGCGTTGCAAACATATCAACTTCAAAAAGCCTGGCTTATAGTATATAAAGTTAGAGAGAGACAAAACATGCTTCTTGTTCGTTACACTAATAAAAAAACTGTTTTAATCATTAAAGAGGCTAAATGCTTATCAGAGAACGGTCACCTTGGGAAGATAATAAAAATTGTCAAAAATAACTAAAAAAAAGTTGGTTTTATACAGCTCGCTCTTACAAAAGTATTTGTGTAATAACTAAACTATCTGTGGATAGATTTCGGGTTTAATTGAAATCTAATGGTTTGGAAAATTACCTTCCATTATAAGGTAGGAATATCGAATGGTACACCTGTTATATATAATATTATAGTTATTACGAAACTCGTTTACATTATTTGACTTATCATAATGCATGTACATTTCAAATATACTAACTTATTTACCCAGGTGAAATATTACCTTGAAATTGAAAAATAAATAGCTTTCAAATATAAATAATGGTATATACTGCATGTTTAATTGTCTTTTATTAGAAAATGTATATTATATCACTTATCTAACTTTATATGAGGAATGTTCTAGGTTAGTTGTTTTATAAAAAGATCTCCGTTTTACTTACAGCATAATTTTATTATTGTATGCAAAAGTTTGTGAGTATCCACGCTAGGTGGCGCGCTCATCAATTTTGTATATATAATCTAGTCGATAGAAGAACTGACGAAGTTCTAAATGATTAGAATACTGTGTTTTGTTTTTAAGGAGAATCTTATTAAATGAAACATGTACCACAATGCACTTTAAAAAGTAGAATTTTCATTTACCTACTAATTCATTAGGGCTGCAAATGCACAGTTTATAAAAAAACAAATTGCAAATCTAAAACTTACCCACCAACAGACACCACGATAAAGTGTGTCTTTGGGAATACACAACGATGTATTTGCAACGTACGGAGTTTACAAATTCGTGCATTTATTATGGCTTATCACGGTCACATTAATGAGGTTTAGATTATTTGACCCATGGTGGTGGTCAACCTGCAATATTTATCAAAAACTGAGTTATTGATTCATGTTTTTTGACATCTTTTACGATTCCATTGGATTACGGGCCCGGTGATGTTATCTATGGCTAATAATCAACGAGTCACGAGTTCGATCCCCACCGGGCCCAACATTTTTCATTAATTCAAATTTTTCAAAACATCTTGGACTTTAAATACTGTCTATAGTTTACGCAAGTAGTACACATTTAAATAAAACACTTTAACGGTTTAAAACGCGATATATTAGTTAAACTTATTTGAAAATGATTTTTAACTTCGGCCCGACGTTTCGGATGCTTTGCAGCAGCCGTGGTCACGGGGAGACTAAAGATGGAGGATGTCTCTGACGTCAAAGTAAAAAATTGCTACGCTAGCGCCATCTGTTCCGTCGAAGTTGGTATTTGGCGAAACTGGCCGGGTCCTTACAGAATTGACTAACGGTGTCTTCGCGTTTGCCGGTATGCTGTTTATTGGGATCCAGAGTTTTTAATATCCCAGGTGTTTGATAGGTTGAGGCCGTCCTCCCTATTGAAATTTCGGTGTTTTTTAATTTCAATTGCTTCGCGTACCTTTTAGTAATTCGTGACAAACACGGTAATATCGGGCATACCGTCTTTAGAAAAACAACCCATACGGATAGGTATTTGAACGGTGACTCACATCACCACCCACACACATAAACAGCATACCGGCAAACGCGTTTAGATGTTATATGGCTAGGGTATCTTATTCATGCTAGTCTTTCCACCTATAAAAATGGAGTCTTGGTGCTCCTTTGGGCGTTCAACAGACCGCGCTATATTTCTGCTATTTAACATTTAATCTTTAAGAAGCATAATTCACATCATTTCATCCCCAGCCCAAAAGCATAACGTCAGTTCCTGGTTTAGTTGGAGATTCGGAAAGTGGTATGCTCATCACATTCTTTAAAAATCGAAAATAAATTGAAAAAACTTTCGACTCCGGCAGGACTTGAACCGGCATCGTCAGCGTTCCGTGCTGTTGCTCTACCAATTGAGCTACCGAGTCCTACACCTCATTGTCGAATTTTTTCAACTTATTGATACATGCACCTCTCGCTTTGCTTTGCAACGTGTTATGCTTTGCAGCTTAAGAAATCAATGAAGATGAAATTACAAAGTTGTAACGTTTGAAAATTTTATAATTTGTAACATGTTATTGCACATGAAGGATCCCCTTATGCGCAATAGTCGTCCTCCTGCCCGAGTCGAAAATTTTTTCAATTTATTTTCGATTTAAAATTATATAGTGCAATAACATGTTAAAAATAATAAAATTTTCAAATGTATGCTTTAAGTAAAGTTGAGGCAACTCACTCTTCAATTTACGAACCATATATTTAAGGTTTCTGAAAAGGTTTTAGATTTTTGAAACATTTTTTATAGTTTTGTTAAAACCTAAACAAGACCAAGGTAGTTTTTTTAAAGCCCAGAGGAAACGATATGTAAAAAACATGTATATGCCATTGTTTTATTCTTCCAAACATATTCAATAATATAATAAATGATGTAGATGTGTTTATATATATTAGCATGCAAATTTTAATTATGGTTTTACATTTTCATATCATGAAATTTCATTTCGTTAATTATGATTGATTTGATCTTAGTTGGATGACATGGTGTTTGAAATCCAAGATCTGTATTTCTCGACACGCGTCATCACGTCTGGTACTCCCAATTGTCCGCAAGGAGTAACTCCTACAGACACGACACCAGCCAGCATATTCCCATCGACTACTGGACCGCCGGAATCACCCTGGAACAAAAAAAATAGTTGAGTATTAGATTTGCTTTGAGGACCATTTGATGAAAAGTAGATATGTATTTATGAATTAAAATTTAGAACGAGCTATATTAGTAGATAGATTACTGCAACGGTCGGCAAGAGAGGCATTGATGGACGAGTGTGTGCAGTAATTCCATCAATGCCTAGTTGCGTCCAAGGCGTGTATAGTACTTTTCTCAAATAATGCGCGGCAATTAAAACAAAGTAGTACAATTCAAAACTCTAGAACCTATAACGTTAAATTGACAAACAACTAATGACATATAGCTTTTACGCGCCAATATTTTTTAAACCTTTGATAAGTTACCTCTTGGGTCGGCATGTTGTGGAGTAGATCGAATATTTTTGAATTACATGACAAATATGCTTTTAAATAGTATATAATATATATTTGACTACTATTGCGATCCACTTCTCGATCAGTACAGCCAGTTCGATTCATATTATGTATAAATGATTTTATCAGTTATTTTTCTACTTAGGAAGCGTGTTATTTCCATATAATACCTCTGCAGATGGCTGGATAATCACGTTGGCATTTTGTTAAGTAGGTTGACGTTTCCAATAGTTTTACTTCTTCAAGGTTGCATAGGGCATCAGATACAAGGCGGATAGGGATTACTTACCTGACAACCCCCCTTTCCAGTTCCAGCATCAGCGCACAGAACATTTTCTGTGATCGCGTTTGGCCTACCACGACGTTTGTAATAGTCTTCGTATCGCTGCGAGCAACTTTCAGTGCTTATAGCAGTCAAGTTCAGCATTTGTAAGTCGTTAGGCATTTCACCATCCGTCTAAAATTAAAAAAAATAATAATTGTACAATGGACAATCATGCTTAGTTTATTAAAACATAGAGAGTCACAAAAGGACCAAGAAAAAACCTAACCTTTTAAAAATTTACATAATAAAACCAGAATGCACTATCGACAAATTTTGGCGTTGGAATGTATCAATAGTATATTTCTACTACCCACGTAAAATCCAATTCAGGCCAAGTCATCAAGACATGTTTGAGAAAATTACTATTGGATATTTAAAATTGTGTTGGAGCAGATTGGAAAGCTCCAATGACTCGGTGTTTGGGTATTCTAGTTACTGTTGGATTAACGAGTCCGTAATAATTGCACATGCTTAATTACAAAAAAAAAACTATCTTTGGAAGAAATCGACAACTTTGTTGGATTTACTTTTATTATCTATATCTTTAGAAACTTTGCATGAATAACATACCCCCTTGATTCCCCACCCAGTGAGGAGTAAGCTGGCTCCAGGCTCCGTGGTCCTATCAGCCAAAGGTATAGGCTGCACTTTGGCAGTGTATTTAATTTCGGTTCCCGTCTTCAATAGACAAATATCGTTTGCGTACGTTCTTCTATCATAGTTCTCGTGAATAATAGATTTAACAAGTGTATACCTATCTCCAGTATTACCTAGAGTATTGGTGCCCACAACAATAGTCAAGTAGTCGAGATTCTGGCCGTAACTGAAATAAAAGAGAGAACAAGCCATCGTGTATCGTGACTTAGGCAAGTAGAAAGCATCCGAACCAATTTTACCAATATATATTGCGTTTTAAACCGTTAAAGTGTTTTATTTAATGTATACTACTCGCGTTAACTACAGACAGGCTGTATATTCCTGTTTGAAAATATCTATAGTTAAAGGATAGAAAAAAAATACCTGAAAATTAGTTGAAATTAGAACTTTGTTATAAGCGACATCTAGCGGCATTGTTGGAACTACCTATTTCTTACTATACCAATTGTTATTTAATTGAACGATCTTAAAAATCATTGACAGTTAAACGTAAGGTTAGAGCAACAGCACGGGACGCTGTGGATACCGGTTCGAGTCCTGCCCGTGTCGTATTTTTTGTCAATTAATAATCGTTTTTTAACATAAGGTTAACTTAAAACTTAAAGCGGTTACCATAGCAACCTTAACTTACATATTATCCATGCAATGTGCAGCTGTCAGAACCCAGTACTTGTCGATGACGCTTGCCCCGCAGTTGTGCTGGTAAAACATAAATCTTAAAGATGCTTGCCACGGAGCTATACCATCGGGAGCATTCTCACCACCAATTATTCTTGTCCTATAATCAGCTCCTGGAGAAAGCAGACAATTAAGTCCAGAGGATAGTATTTTGATAAATATTCGCTTTGACGTTCAATGGTGGAAGGTCTTGGGTTCGAATCCCTTGGAAATCATCGATTCTTTAAATCAGACAGTGAACGGAATTCTGATTTTATTTATAGATAAATCAAGCAGTGAAGCGTTCTCAGAAATGTGGTATGATCCAGTTGGAACTACATTTGACGTTTTGGATACATGAAGATAATATTATGGTTATCAATTAAAAATCTTATATAATTCCCGTTTTAAACTGTTAAGAGTGTGTGATAATATGGCTTATTTAAACTGTATAGATTAATATGGAGAATATTAATGTTATGGATATGTTACGTGTTCCTCGACTAATCTTTGCTCAAATACGACGGCCAAATTCGTAAAGCTTTTACTAAACGGCCGCCAAAGAAAAAAAGAAACAAAACTAACGCGACTAAACTTCGGCTTCTGTGGACGGTGGTTCGTGATCCGGACGGAATTTCTATATGCTTATCACCCAATTAATATACAAGTTTCTGAAGTCCGGTATGTTTCAGAAATATTATAAATTCCAAAATTAGAAACATGTTAGACCTGGTGAGGATCGAACCCACGACCTTTGATTGACCTTTGATCATTGCTACCATTAGACCGACGGGTCCGTCAAAATGAAAAAAAAATCGGAGCTTTTCTATACTTTCAGTAGCTAAGACTACTTTAATTAAGACAGCTTTATTTATTATGCAAAAGTTTTTGACAAGTCAAGGTTTAAAAGACTTACCCGCTGAATATCCAATAGCAAGTACAAATAATATCGCCGTTAGGGCAGCCATTTTAAGTATCCGAAGTACCTAATTGTACTGAAGTTTATGAAATGATGTCTCTTTTATACACTTTTAACACCGGATATTACTTACTATTATCTTTATGTAGGGTTCTTTGTTGTTTTTAATTTCTAAAATCGAAATAATTAGACATTTTAATAACTAGATTTGCGTCATTGATCGAATGACGTAAATACTGAATTAGGTGTTTGATAGAAAAATAGAAATTAGAGCACACTCAATAAATAATAGAAGTGAAAAGATATAATTTATAACTTGTATACGCCATTTGACCATCTGTATTTTAAATGGATTAATACTTTTTATTTAAAAGCAAGACATAAGTAAAAAAAGTATCATTTTTAATATAATAAAAAAATGATTAAAGAAATTCACTAAAGAGAGCAACAGCACGGAACGCTGACGACGCCGGTTGAAGTCCTGCCCGAGTCGAAAATATTTTCAATTTATTTTTGATTTTTAAATTAAAGAAATTCAGGAAATAAATTAATATCTAACACACACGTATTAACTAAAAATAAATGTTTTATTTAAATGTGTACAACTCGCGTAAACTATAGACAGCATATAAATGTTATAGTCAATCTGCTTAATCTTAACGTACCATTAATTATTTAAACGTGGTCTAGCTGTGTAATAGTGTGTATGTTTTCATTAAGAGCGCATAACCATGTCCTAATATTTAGTTTTTTTTAGAGAAAATAAAATTTTCTCTTGCTCTCGTCTAAGGCTTTAACTATTATGTGCTGTATGATAAAAAAACGATTTTTATATACTTCTTTATAAGATAAGAAGTTATTTGTGAAGAAACATTTTCCTACATACTTAGCACAGCTTTTTTGCATAGTAGCATATTTAACGGCTGTGTCGCATTCTATCTTGTACCGTTTGTAAAATCCCGAAGACTGTTTTTTTATTATTTTTCCGTTAACACATCATTGCTTTTACTATATATATATATATATAGTAAATGCCGTTCGTGAAAGTTTTGAAATAGTGATAAGCACGAGAGAGCACAAGAGATTTATCGCCGTCCGTTCAGCCGCAATAAAAAATATATATGACAGCCGAACAACTGTTGCTAGCCGAACGGTAACCACTTGGTGCATATGGAAGGTCCAAAAAGGGTGGTAACAGGAGGTCATACGTCGAACGCTATTGTATTGCCTATTTTTATTTATTAAAATAAGGCTATTTTACAACTCAGGGGGAAACCAAATGTGTCTTATTGTATGTTTATATTCTTAGAAATATATATATTTCTAAGAATTATAGAATAGAGTGGAGGAGGAGTGTAGCCAATTATACTTGTGACTTCGTACCTGCAAAGCATCCGAAACGTCGGGCCGTTGTTAAAATAATTTTCAAAAAAGTTTTACCAACATATACCACGTTTTAAACCGTTAAAGTATTTTTTTTATCTACAAACAGTATTGGATTCGTACCTACTCATATCTAATAATAAATTAATATTCATAAATTTTACACGAACTTAAAAAAATGATGTAATGAAAATTGTACTGTATTGTCAGTGGTACGGAACCCATCATGAACGAATCGACGCCAACCTGGCTGGTTTTATTATTTATCGACTAAATAATTGTATTGTAAACATTATTACTAAAGTTACATGTATCTTAAAAAGGAAATATTTATGCAAATTAACTAAACGTCATGTGATCGACCTCAAAATAATTACTTATAAGACGAAAATAATTAAAATCGTAAATAAACGTATTATCACTTTCGCTAAATGCATTCTCTTAATTGCTTTTGAAAAATTGCTCGCGTATCAACGACCTTATTCATGAAAAAATTAATGGAAACTTAAGAGTTGAGGAGAAGCGGCTTTGTGTCCCCCAGGGAGAAGGAGCGACCAACAACTACAGAACTACAAACTTATTAGTGCAAACTAAACTTTAAAGTAAATAAACTTAGAATAATGTATAGTGTATTATTAAACAGTTTTATAAATTACTAGCTGCGCTCGCGACTTCGTCCGCGTCAAATAATATTCACAAATTATTGCTGTTACCCACGTCTTCGCTTGTGTTCCATCGTAAAGAAGATTCATTATTTCATACATAGCTTTTTGCGTGTCTTCAACTGTTTCGCAGCGCACGCAACGAAGCGCTCAAAGACTTTTAGATTGATTCTTCTTTAAATGATCTAAAATAATGATTGCGACAATATTTATCTACACCACGATAATATATAAAGCTGAAGTTTGTTTGTTTGTACGCGCTAATCTCATAAACTACGGGTTCGAATTAAATCTTGTTGTGTTGGTTAGAACATTTATCGAGGAATGTTAAAGGCTATAACACATTTCGATGTGACTAATAGGAGCGACGATACAGCGGGAAATGTGAACAAAACGAGGGAAATTTTTCATTTCTGTGGGTTTTAGATGCGTAAGCTGCGAAAACGGTTCAAGACACCCATAAAATATGTATTAAAAAATTATTCCTCTTTAAATGATCTAAAAAAAAGTCCGCAACACTATGTATCTATCTTTTAAGTTTAACTTGCATGAACGACGGGAAGGGACGCTACCGACGTCGTGGGTAATAGTTTAAGTCTATAAAGTTAAAGGGGTTTGCGTAAAACTAATTTGGATGCCCAATATAACTATTCTACGCAGACGAAGAAGGTTCTTGGGTGGTGTAGCTGTGCCAGTCTTATGTAACACGCAAGAACGACATCGCGAGCTTAGCTTGAATGTTAAATAAAACATTTAAAAAGCCCGGAAACTGTGTATTACCCTGGCCGAATTACGTCACGGCTTCTTGAGGTCGAGTGAACTTTTTTCACTAAAACAATTTAAAAAAGAAGTTAACAAAAAAATAATAACTTTTAAATAAAAGATTCTAATGGCTTAAAACGCGATATATTAGTTCAAAAAAATCATTTTCGAATAAGTTTAACCAATATATCGCGTTTTAAACCGTTGAAGTGTTTTATTTAAATATAAATTTCTTTACAATTAAGTAGTGGTTAAATTTTTCTTTAAATAAGTAATAGTTACGTAAACACCGGTCGATTTTATTTATTCAGCTATTAAAATATTTTTATTAAGTATATATAATAGATTCCCTATTTAAATTCAAATTCATACATCATCAGTCACGCGCAAATAACATGTGAAAAACACTGTTTCTTCGTAAAAAAATTACGTTTAAAACTTTGCTTAACTTGACTTATAGAAACACTTGTTCCTAAAATAGCATGGCGGTAAACGAGAGGACACCATGTCTCAGTTCTGTAGGAACCCAGCCAGTTTACACCAAATACCAATTACGACGCTACAGATGGCGCTAGCGCAGTTTTATACTTCAGACACCCCGTGACGATTGCTGGGAGTGAAAGTAAATACGCTAAATAATACATTCCACGTTTTAACCCGTTAAAAGTTTTTTAATTAATTATGTACTGCTAACGTAAACTACAGGCAAAATGATTATTTTTTTACCTATAGTCAATCTTATGTTACCATCTTTTTTATAAACATACACATGTATTACGTACTACTTACATACTTTCTTCATCATATACTAGCTGTGCCCGCGATTTCGTTCGCGTGGAATAGTGACTTGGGATAGAATTTTTATTTATTTAGGCTGTATTAATTTATGTAATTGCGCAGCACAACTCTCTCCACCTCACCACTTTCACTTTCATTCCCACTCCCACTCTCACACCTATTCCCAAAAGCCAAAGAAGAAAGTTTTATTTTTGTAGCTTTAAAAACCACGAATTTCCATACAAACTTTCACTATGTATAAATACGTTAACTAATAATTCATTTCGCGTTACTGACAATACCTATTATTATTTATCCATAGTAAGTCTTTTTACATACATATATTACACACTTGAATATTATATGTGATAGAAAATAATGGCGTCAATATGTTAAAAATTTAAACAACTCAAATATTTCTTCAAACACTTATATTATTTTAAATATATATTATTTTAAACATAGCCAATTTGCATAAAAAGGTGAAGCTAATAAGAAAAAAATTAGATGCCAGTCTTCTCTTTAATCCAGTCCACGTATGAGTAGACCCGTGTGAAGACGTCAGGTCTGCCCCGTCCACACGGAATCACCCAGGAGGCAAGACCAACTACTTCCCCATTGCGTGCAAGTGGACCACCAGAATCTCCCTGGAAAGCAGTAAATACATGGGCCAATAGAACTATACATATAATGCTGTTAGGCAGAGTGGCTTAATAACATAAAACAAAGATTTTCAATAAGGAGGAAAATAAAAATAAAACAGAAAATCTAAAAAAATGTCCGAGATAGCCGGCGGATATACGGCTCTCTGTTAAGACTAACTTGCAAGGACGACGGGATGGGGATTTCGTTGTGGGTAACAACTAAAATGTATAAAGACGACAGAGAGACCAGAAGTTTTGCAAAAACAAATTTTTATGCCCAAAATAACCATTCTACGGGATGAAGACGCGGCCAAAGCTAGTCTATCTTATAAGAGTAACTTACTTGGCATATTCCTTCGTTTTCCCTTGTGTAAGTACAGATTTGGTGATCGGTTATCGGATTTGTGTTCTTGAATCTCTTCAAGTCACTGTTCTGGCAATCTTCGACGGATAGAGATTTCACTGTGAGCTTTTGCAATTTGTCTGGAGTTCGGCGGTAGTTCTGAAAGAAAATGTACGTATCGTGTTACCTGATTTTCCTTACTGTCAACTCGTCTACGTAAAAGGTACAATAAACTATGTCCGAGGTAGTTAAATGTTACATAATTTAAAAATCGAACATAAATTGAAACCGATTTCGACTCGGGTAGGACTTGTCGGTTCTTTCGTGATGTCGCTCTACCAATTGAGCTACCGAGTCCTACACCCCATCGTCGATTTTTTTCAAATTATTGATCTACTCTCGCGCAATGTAATTTCAATCTTATTATTGTTTTTACATATTATTTTTTGTCTACGGGTCTGGCAGCCCCAGGACGTGGAAACTACAGCGAAGAGCAGTCCGATTCTCGTATTAGCATAAGTTAAGTAACAGCGCAGTTGCAGTGACGTTTTGTTGTTTTGTTAATGTCGTCTAACGTTAAACATTTCTGACATGAGTGACAAGAGCGTCAACAATTCGGCGCTGAATCGAAACTGTATCGCAGCGTAACTGCGACTCGAACGATGAGTCACTAAATTAGGAGAATCGTCCTGCTGATTTCCAGACGAAGAAACAGGTTGGACCTGGTTATGATTGAATCTACGATGTGGAATAAATTATTACCGATACATTGTTACCAAAGAGCCCGACAGAAAACATTTTAAAATGTCTACTATTTTACATAGATTAGTACATACATTGGTGTATCCCCAGCCTGAAACAATGAGTTCAACTCCGCCTGGAGTATCAGCGGTAGGCAAGGATATAGGCTTAACTTTCTCGCCATATTGGATTTCCCTCTTAACTTTTATCACCTCAACGTCGTTTGCGTATGAAGTGCGATTGTAGTCCTCGTGGAGAATTATCTTATCAACCTCGTATTTGGCTCCGCCATTCGAAAGACTGTTTGTGCCAACAACCACTACAATATTTTCCTTTTGGAACCTGAAAGATTAGACGTTTAATAGTAGGTTAGTTTAAAATTTTAGTAAAACACTAACGGTTTAAAACATATATATTTAGAATATAGATATAGAATTAACTAATATATATCGCGTTTACATCGTTAAAGTGTTTTATATAATTGTGTGCTACTAGCGTAAACTACAGATAGCATTTAGTAGCTTAGTATTCTTAGCGCCCGGTTCATGTTACTAAACACGGCAACGGTGAAATGAGAAGTATCACATATCTTTAATTATCAACCACGTTTCGGATGTTTTAACAACCATCTTCCAAAGCATATTGTTCGATGTGTTTATAATATAAAAAGGCCTGACGGATGGACTTTCACGACCAAATATAATTTTTTCTACAGCTGAAATTTAAAAAATTTTTTTTTTGGGGTATAACATTTTTTTTTTTCCACATATCAAGGTTGTAGGCTTTATAATATCACGCTGCCACTAATAAGAAATAGTGGGAAATGTGGAAAATATTGAGGGTTTCCATTGCGTGCGCAGCAAAACGGTTCAAAACACCCAAAAATTTTCTATTCTCTTTAATATTAATAAAATTCCACATAGTATATATCTATTTTTTAAGATTAACTCACAAAAACGATGGACGCACAGATCTGGGTAACAGATTAGTCTATCTGAATAAAGCTTGAGGTGTTTGCAAAAGTATGTAATATGCCCAAAATAACTATTCCACGAGACGAAGCTGCGGGCACATTAGTAAATTATAAAGAAAGAAAACAATGTCATAGTTTATCTATCTATTTCTATGTATAATGATAATGTTAGCACGTTATATAAGTGAAAAATATGTAGATAAATGTGTACAAAAGTAACATACTTTTTCTGCGAACCTATTAAAATAACAATAAACATACTCAATTGTACAATGGGCAGCCGACAGCACCCACAAAGGGGCGATTATGGAACCTCCACAGAAGTGTTGCAGTACATTCCTGTAGTTGTACAACCTCAGCGATACTTGGTAGGGAAATTCGCCATCAGCCGCATCAGAACCACCCACGATGCGTGTATCAGCATCAGTGTCGTCGCCTAACACAAAACATTTCACAAAAATCGTGTAACTACATAACATCTTAACACGATGAGCTATCTACTTATTTGGGATTAGGATATAATCTAAAGACTGAAATCGAACACGATTAAACTACATCGAACGGTAATTCGTGACCCGGACGGAATTTCGATATTTCTACATGTTTTGTCTATAGTTTGCGCGAGTAGTACACATTTAAATAAAACACATTAACGGTTTAAAACGTGATATATTAGTTAAACTTATTTAAAAATGATTTTTAACTTCCGGCCCGACGTTTCGGATGCTTTGCAGCAGCCGTGGTCACGGGGAGACTCCCCGTGAATTAAAAATAATTTTTAAATAAGTTTAACAAATATATCGCGTTTCAAACCGTTAAAGTGTTTTATTTAAATACTACATGTTTTATAATAAGTATGAATTGATTCGACATTTTGGACTTGCTGGGTATTGAACAACCAACCCTTTGATTATGAGCCATACATTGCTACTATTAGACAATGAGTCCGACAACATATAAAATGGATTGAATGCCCAATCTATTAAAAAGTTATAGTATAAATATAAAATATGTTGGTTAAACCCTTATTTACAAATAAAATTATATAAAATATATTAATTTAAGTCTACTTACATTGCACCGCCGACACCAAAATTAAAGTAAGAAGGTACCTTAACATTTTTGTACTTTGACAATTCTCTATTTCAAATGGAGTATTCCTCCGCTTATATACAAAGAGCTAGAGCCGCGATAGTACAAATTTATTACCCTCTAGATCTAATTACTTTTATAAATAATTGTTATTATCATTTGGTGAACATTATTTGTACAGGGCGATAATTATACATTAAATTGTGCTAACTTAATGGTTTGAAAATTTTAATATTAGCATTAATTAAATTAAAAATATATTGTTTGAAAATAAAAGACGGGAGCGGAAATTGAACTGAAATACATAGGGTTCCACACATCTGCTTTTACCAACCATGTAATCGTCTAATTTCTTTAACCTAATCTTTACTTCTACAGTAATATTTAAAGCTGAAGAGTTTGTTTGTTTGAATGCACTAATCTCAGGAACTACTGATACGAAAGTATTTTTGTGCTGGATAGAGCATTTTTAGAGGAAGGGTATAGGCTATAAAACATTGCCCTGTGACTAGTATAAGCAAAGATACAGCGAGAAAAATGAAAAAATTAGAAAAAGTGATTACTTTGAATACATGAATATCATTAAGGGTTTCTGAGACGTACCCTGCAAAAGCGGTTCAAGATAAATGTATAAATGTGTAAAAAATTCCTCTTTAAGTGATTTAAAAAAAGTCCGTGATGCTATATGTCTATCTTTTAAGATTAACTAGCAAGAGCGACGGGAAGGGACGCGATCGACGTCGTGGGTAACTTCGGGTTAAAAATGAAGGGGTTTGCAAAAACGAATTTGGGTGCTAAAAATAACGATTCTCGCAGACGAAGTCGCTGACACAGCTAGTTTAATTATGATGATACAATTTTAGTATTTTGTTACCAAGTATTTCTAAATTTTTTAATAGGTACATAATTTTACACAATTGCCAATGCATTTAAATTTAACACGCCTAACGATTTAAGCATCCGTGGTTATGGGGGACACCACGGCTGCTGCAAGGCATCCAAACGTAGTAAAACATATAATAATTAAATTTACGTATATATACTGCTTTAAACCTTTAAAAGTGTTTTACTTACATGTGTGCTATATGTATAAACTACGGGCAATACTCAAAAATGTTTATCAACTTAATGTCAATTTTATAAACGTAATTATTTATTTAAGTATATTTTTATTAAATATAAAGTAGGTTGCATATTAAGGCAGTGAGAGAACAAACAAACACATTTATGTCATCAGTAAGAATTTAATACCTATAGAATAAGTATATTGTTAAAATATATTTGACATTTTTTTGTACACTTTTTCATATTTAAGCCGACTATAATGTACCGATGTATCGAAATTAACCCTACTTCTAAATAACTACTATCGTTAGTCAATTCCGTATATATTGTGATTACTAATAGTTGAGATAATTTTCTATCCATTTGCGGTAGTAGAATACATTAGTGCTGACGTCGGGATACCAAAGGTCACAAGCTACGCCCCAGGAGACTACTCCGACAATCTGGTTGTTTAGAACGAGCGGTCCACCGGAGTCGCCCTGGAAAAACAATAAATTCGTAATATCGTTGTGTCCGCTACGAAAACCGTACAAAATACCCATAAAATATGTACTAAGAGATGATTAATTTTGAAATGATCTAAATATGACAAATTTTACATGGCTTTGTATAACACGTCTGTCTATGTATATTAATAATGTCGTCAAACTGTCAGCGTGAATAATAAAATTACTTATTTGAAATGACAAAATAAAGACACCAATACGCTTTTTTTATTTTCCTAGCTCTTTTAAATAAAACACTTTAACGGTTTAAAAAGCGACTATATTAGTTAAACTTATTTGCGCTTTTTAACTTCGGCCCCGTTCGGATGCTTTGCAGAAGCGTGTAAAGGTCATTTTCAAATAAGTTTAACTAATATAACGCGTTTTAAACCGTTAAAGTGTTTTATTTAAATGTGTACTACTCGCGTAAACTATAGACAGTATTCCTAGCTCTTTATACCTTGCATTAATAAATATTCTACACACACTGTGCTTTTTGACATCACATTTAAGACTTCCGATATTTCCTTTTACATCTTGAAAAGTCTACGTGTTGTTCTTTATTACTTCTCTTGCTAATCTTAATTAATAAAACTAACTTCTATTATTCCATCCATATGACTTTTATTGTACTTTTGTTTTTTTTCGTTCTACATCACAAAGGTTGCCTGGAAGAAATCGCCATAGGCGATAACGCCGCCTTTGCACAAACATTTCTATTTGCATATGACATTTTAATACTTCAGTATAAATATGTTAGTGCAATAAAGAGTATTTTTAATCATATTTAAAGGTTATTTTAGATTCTAACTGGCATCCGTGTCATTTTTCGATCTCAAATATTCTAAAGGCTTATGTAAGCTTTCGCTTGATGTCTTACCTGACAGGCTCCACTGCCGCTTACTGTGAGCGTACACAATTCCGTATCATATACAGTATTTATCCCCGTAAAGATAATCTTGCAAGTATCGATTGCTATCACAGTTTGATTCACAATCTGTAGATTAGCTGGTATCGGCTCGTCACCCTCCTAAAATCATTAGCAATATGAATTATATTTATATATAGACATCCTGTCTATAGTTTACGCGAGTAGGTACATATTTAAAATCTTAAACGGTTTCCGAAGTATTCTAGTCAACTTATTTAATCTATTTTAACTATGGCCTGACGTTTCGAATGCCTTTAAGGAGATTAAAGATGGAGGGTGCCCTAGCGTAACAAATTTGACTTTGACATTAGCTACACCCTTCATCTTAATTGCCCCCATGACCACGGCTACTGCAAGATAGACGAAACATCGGGCCTTTTTAAAAATAAACGCAAATATTTCAGTTTTTTTGAAATTGTTTTTTTTTTTATAAAAATATTACTTAAATGTATGTTTTGACAATTTATGTGTAATTCCTTTGTATATTGACTTCAGGAGAGTGTCGGTAAAAATTCGTAAAATATACCGATTCCTTGCCCCATCCACTAACGAGGATATTATCCCCAGGTCTTGGTGCCCTATTTGGAAGATTAATTGGTTGAACGCGTTCGCTAAATTTGATATACTCAGCAGCTTTAACAAGGGAGATGTCGTTAGTGATGGCTGTTGCATTATATTTTTCATGGATGATTATATCTTCTACTTTATACTTATCTCCACCCTTCACCAGGCTGTTGGTTCCAACTACAGCTGTTACCACTTCTTTGGGATACCTAGAAATATAATATATATTTAATTAAACACTTTCGGTTTAAAGACATTTATTTCCCACTAAGATTATAACAATCACTTATATGAGAAACATTAATACAATATATACATTTTTACTATTCATCACGCGGGTAGTTTATAATAAAATCTTAACAAAACTATAAATAGCCGACGCAATAACATCGTGCCGATAAGAAACGAGTTTTTTTCACTTTAACGGTTTAAGACGCGATATAGTAGTTAAACTTATTTGGAACTGATTTTTAACTTCGGCCCGACGTTTCGGATGCTTTGCAGCAGTCACGGGAAGCCCAAAGATGGAGGATGTCTCTAACGTCAAAGTAAAAAACTAACGAAACGAAACGTCGCGGTCGGGCCGAAGTTAAAAATCATTTTCAAATAAGTTTAACTAATATATCGTATTTTAAATCGTTAAAGTGTTTTACTTAAATGTGTACCTACTGCTCGCGTAAACTATAGACAGTATTTAATATATATTTATATCACTGACTTTTGTATTCTAGTTTTACTTTAGTGATATTTCGTAAAGTAATATAATCTATCTTGACTCAACTGAGTAAAGTTAGTTAAAAAAAACACAACAAATAAGCCATTTATTATTTTTATATGATAGATGAGAACAGACAAGCACGGGCTTTCACTTGATGTTTGGTGTACCCCAGCCATATCTAACAAGATGAGCTGCCGACTTATTTTGGCTTTAGATTTTCGACCATCTACAGACTGGAACTGAAACACGATTAAATTTCTCGGCTTCTCAGATGTAGACTGTGGTTCATGATTTGGACAGAATTTAGATATAACTACCAGATCCCTATACGGATTTTCAGACGACCAATTAGTTTCAGATAACTGATACATTATTTAAAAAAATGATGGACCTCGTGTAGATCAAACCGACGATTTGTTGATTATTATTACATTGCTACCATTCAAACAAGAAGAACGTCAACAGTGTAGAGTAGTATACAGTCAAACATTTAAAAATTTTCACAGGATATTCGCGAAGGTAGCCAGTACCCTTTTTTATGGTTGTACCTGCTGAGATTGTCACTTGTTTTTACTTACGCCACTCCACAGTGGGCTGCAGTTAAAATCCACCTTTTGGCGAGAAGAGTAGCGCCACAGAAGTGGGATATTTCGTCATGACGTAGTGAGACTTGGTAAGGTATACCACCGTCAGGTGCAGTGGAACCACCGATTATCTTTGTGTCGGGTACTGGGATTCTTCTTCTTAAAATCATTGAACCTGGAACCAATAAGGTAAAATTATAAAGTAGGCGCTATTGAGAAAGATATAATAAACTTAATATTTTCAAATTTCTCAAAAAATATTAATATAATTATGATCATACAATAGTAGCTCCAATGATTACACAAAACAAAAATCAAGAATTATATACCTACAAATCTTATAAACAATAGTTACCAGGGTATTTTTCAATAAATCAAAATAGCTAAGGTTCCAATTAAAAATGTAAAGTACCTAAATACCGACGATTTCAGTGTTCTGTAATATCTAAAATTTATGAACTCCAACCCGACTCTGGCTGATATAGACAGTTCTTATACGAGTCAATATGATTTCGCCCAAATCTAGTAACTATACAATTGTTAAAAAATAAGTAAATGACAATAAGAATAGTCTCGTATATTTATAGATTTGAAAAAAGGCTTTCATACAATCAGCATTCGGTCCTTAGAAAAGTTAAGTCATATATTAGGAGGTACGGCTCATAAATATTTGAATATATTTAAGTAAGAGCAATAGTAAAATTAACAAAAAAACTGATAAAATATTGTGGTATTCCCCAAGGATCCATCTTAGGACCTTTTATTTTGTCTAATAATTTCATAAAATAGGCTCAAAGGTAATATTTCTTTATTGCCGATGAACCTGTTGTTTTACTTGGTCATAGTATAGATAGAATTATAAATGAAATCAAAATTTAAACATATTATCACGTGTAAAATTATTTCTAATAATATTGAAAAAGTCTAATGATTTTTTTCAAAAAATAAAAAAATACATTACACAATGACAAAGTAATATTAAGAGATCTAATCAAGAGATACCTTGGACTTATTTTAATAATAGACTTACGTGGAAAGCTCACATTAATTTCGATCAAATTACCGCTGATTGGTTTAGTGAAAAAAATATCCAAATGTCTTCCCATAAGGCTAAATTTTAAGCTCTAGTCAAACCCAAGACTATCTATTCCAGTGTGGGATTCAGCAAACATAAATAGTATCAAAAATCATAAAATCTTTGTTTAATTATAAAAATAACTTCTACTAAAAAGGTTTTGAAAATACAAAATTATTTAACATTTTCAATATTACCTTTCTTCTAAAATTTCATAGCAACGTAAAACTTTACGAAGAAAATAAATACAAAAATAAAATAACTTGTCACTACCCCAACCAACTAATTACGGTAAAAATAGTTTAAGATTTACGGGTGCTGATCTTACAATAAGTTACCTGAAATTTAAAACAGTTAAATATTTCAAATATTAAAGTTCCATATTAGAATAAGTTAAGTATATAACATGTTTTTATTATATATATTTTCGTTAATTCTAAAACAAAGAAATTTTTTTTGATTGTATATTCTTTGAGAAATAATTCTTTAAACCTTATATAAACATAAGACAGATTATATTTCTATAGAAATAATTCAGCTAGTTTGGAGTTAAACATTTTTGTACTTATTTCATTTTGTATTATGTTTGTCAAGAGCTTACTTCTAATACCAAAACCGGAAATATCAGAGGACTTTTTTTATTAAATGGTGGCCAGCAATTCTTTATGTTTTATTTACCAATTTAAAAGGTATTTAAATAATACACTTTAACGGTTTAAAACGCGATATATTAGTAAAACTAATATATCGCGCTATATAAGTGCTTTATTTAAATGTGTACTACTCGCGTAAACTATAGACAGAATTTAAAAGGTATTTAACATAGTTGATGAGAAGCGTCAAATGATGATGAAACAGCCATTTTTGACTTGAATACCGAAGGTTGGTCACCCCTATATTGATTAGGAATCAATAAATAATGTTTTATGTCGTAGTGGTTGTAGTCATCATCATCGTCAAAATGGCCGGGCAACCGCAAGTATAGAATTTAGCAAGATAATTATTTTACTATTTGAATATTTTAAATAATAACATAAATGTTGGTAGATAGTGTAATTGGTATCGTTAAACGGTAGTAAAAATTATCATTTTTAAATTAAATGCAAATGTATTTTATGAAATTACGAAAATATTCAATTTTCTTATCGAAAAACGCTAGCGAGCTACGTAATTGGTGGGCTTGATAAATAAACCAATCATTAATATGGGTTGCTTATTTTAATTGGGGTAGTATTTAAACGCTAATCAAAAAATATAATTTTTCTATGCAATAAGATTCCGAATTCCCACCAAAATTACTGATTGCACAGCAAAATATTTAACTCAAAATATCACTAAACACACTACAATTTACTTTCCCAGCGCACAGCGATTTTTCCTAAAGCTAAAGCTTTTTCATCAATGCGCAGCTAATAATCTCAATACACATTATACATGTTAACTCTTTTTCTTTTAAATATAGCTTCTATTTTTATATTACTTACAGCAATTTTTCTAAATAAAACAGAATTGTATTAGTCACAGTCGTGTTATTATTTAATTATCACATAATGAGATCAGCAAAAAAAATATAAAATTAGATACAAAGGTATCATTGAATTATTAAAGCGGGGCTTGCTTTCGCGGGGCGTCTACGCCTCCTTTTTTCTCCATTAGGCACAGTTTTAGCTTCTGCAGGTGGCGCCAGGTACTTGAGTCGGATCGCAAGTCGGATGATATGCTTGCACATATAGTTCTTAAAAAATGGGGCAGGTGCATTTTCCGTTGACCCAGGTGGTTTGTTGGGTGGGCGAAGCAACTCTCCAATATGTGAAAGCGTTTTTTTTTGTAACCATCAAAACTGTCCCAATCTTGAGTAAGAATTTAGTCCGGAATCAGATTCTAAAAATATTTACATTCTTGTCAAGTTTCGACTATTGATACGCAAGAGTCCAGTCTTTCAGTTCTATCGGAGGTGAAGTTTTAAATGTCTCTGGTTTGTGATCTCTCGACCATTACTTGACCGTTTTGTTGCGGCTGTGATGAATCTCTGTGGTTGTCTTTTATGGTTCTATTGAATGACTCTAGTACATTGTTTGTCACTGGAGAACCAGCTGATCCAAGATACCAATTTGGATTAAGCGAAAAAGACCAATTCATGTCATATACGGCTAACTCCCGACGACACGACTTATTGCTATCTCTATCTTACTCTCCTGCACTCCAGTGGCGAAAAAGCGCGCGAGATCGCGAACCATTTTCAGTTAATTTGTTCTGCATTTAGAAATAATGCAATGTGACAGGATTTTTTTACTATAATAATCATTAAATTTACCAAGCATTGCTTCTTGAAAATTAAGACAAATATGATGGACAGGTTTTGTTGTACTTACTGGTTAATATGCGACTAGTATAGTTATTTTGCTATGAAATATTGATATTGATGTATAATTTCGAATTATCTGCAGTTTGAGTTTTGTTAAACATTTAGTTTATATGTAGTGAAGAAAGTTATTTCATGTAAAAAAGAATGTAATTGATGAGTATGTATTGATTTTCATTGAACTACTAAGATAAAAGGACGCCGAATTTAACTGAAAAGATAACGCAATAAAATAGACGAGCATACTTTGATCGGCCTTAGTTGGAAACGTAAGTGTAAAGCCTAGATTTGTCTACTTATGATAATAATTAAACTGCTAAATTATCTGGGTTTATTTAGTGACATAACTATTTAAAGTTGTAAAGATTTAAAAGTAATGTTTGTTAAAAATACATATATCATGTGATATTTTATAGTAATGTTATAAGATGAATTATATTATACTAGCTGAGGCAGCGACTTTGTATGCGTAGAATAGTTATTTTGCAAACCTCCTGTTCAACTCTATAAATTCAAACTGTTACCCACGACGTCGTCCGCGTGCTGTCGTTTCTTTTATACATATTTTTTGGGTATCTCGAACCGTTTTCGCAGCGTACGCAATGGAAAACCACAAAAGCATGGATGAATACTTTTTTTCCCGTTTTTTTTTTTATATTTCCCGGTGTATCTTCGCTCTTATTAGTAAAAGCGATATGTTTTATAACCTATAGCTTTTCTCAATAAATGTTCTATATCAACACAAAAATTCGACACAGTAGTTCCTGAGATTAGCGCGTTAAAACAAACAAACAAATTCTTCATCTTTATATATTAGTATAGATTATGATAAGCTATTTATAAGCGCCGATTGCAAGCTTCCAAGTAGGAAGTGAAAGAAAAACAAGAAGATTTTATAAAAAAGGTTTTCGCAAATATATAATTTGGAGTTTGTTAAATTAAATACGCTGTCTATAGTTTACGCGAGTAGTACACATTTAAATAAAACACTTAGTTAACTAATATATCGCGTTTTAAACCGTTAAAGTGTTTTATTTAAATAAGTCTGTAAATTATTTGAGTAACAAGTACCTATTATGTCAATTTTGTTATATAATAAAATACTCGCAGAATAGCTGTTAATTTACAAGTACAGTACACATTTTAATCTTAAATGTTCTTTCTACAATACACAATTGCTATTTTCATTTATTAATACAAAATTGTAATAAACTAGAATGAGCGATATTTGACAGAAAGATTTTAAGTTTTGGTTTTCATACAAACCTTGCGCGATAAAACTAATTAAAAATAGAAAAAAACAAAGGATTCCATTTTTCATTTTGTGCGCTTTAAAAAAACACTTTCAAACAAGTAACGTGTATTTATCGGATGAAACGCGTGCGTCACTGTGCAATTACTTTAGTAAATTAATTGTATCGAATTTGATAAAAAGTGAAAGCCATGTAAAAATACATGTTATCCGAATGCTCATGTGAAGACACGTCCAATAATAAAAGGCATCTTGAAAAACTAGCCTGGCCTAATAGCAAACATGATTTTCAATACGGAGGAAAATAAAAATAAGCAATTGAATTACGCGAAAATTTAACTATTTGCGTAAGAATTATGTTAACAATTTTCGGTCACAGTGCTCTTGTTTATATTTTACACTATGAAATAGACTTGAGTTAATTATATTTTCTTAGACAGTGGATATATAAATAACTCAAGTCATAAAAATTGCAGTTAGGCTAATCTGCCTCTGGCCTCATAATCTCCGGTAGCGAAGTTACAATAGAGTATAAAAAGTTATAAAATCAAAGCTGTCTCTAGTTTACGCGAGTAGTACAAATTTAAATAAAACATTTTAACGGTTAAAAACGCGATTTATTTTTAAACTTGTTTGAACATTATTTTTAACTGCAGCCGTGTGTCCCCGCAAGGGGGGACTAAACATGGAGGATATCTCTGACTTCAAACACCAGATACCAGACTACACGAAACCAGATGGATTTTTTACTTAGAATCATGGGGCCGTAGTTAAAAATAATTTTCAAACAAGTTGAACTAAAACATATCGCGTTTTAAACCGTTTAAGTGTTTTATTTAAAAATCAAAGCAAGCATTGGTTCTAATTATAACTTTCGTTAAAAAATTGTCATACAAAGAAGAAGACTTAGAAGATAGGAAAAACGGCAATAAATTTATTTTTAGCTTCTCATTAGGATCAGACATCGCAGTCTTACGTTACTTAATTAAATTTTGCCTTCTCTAATGAAATGAATTAATTCCAATGTAACTTGCGTATTGTACGTAGTTAGGAGGCTTCGTGTGCCAGTGTGCTAATAACAGGGCATTATTTAAGATAAGGATTCGTCTACTTTAATAAATTTGCTTTTGTTTTTTTTACATATATACTAATACTAGCTGTACCAGCGACTTCGTCCGCGAGAATCGTTATTTTGGGCATCCAAATTAGTTTTTGCAAACCTCATCATCTTTATAAACTTAAGCTGTTAGCCACGATGTCGATCGCATCCCTTCCCGTAGTTTTTGCAAGTGAATCTTAGAAGATAGACATATAGCGTCGTGGACTTTTTTTAGATCATTTAAAGGGAAATAATTCATTTATACACATTTTTTAGGTATCTAGAACCGTTTCCGCAGCGTACGCATCTGAAACCCACAGAAATGAAAAGTTTCGCCCGTTTTGTTAACATTTCCCGATCGATTTGTTATAGCATAAAGCCTTGCTCGATAAGTTACCGAGGCGTACGCTACAAAAACGGTCCAAATACTCAAAAACTAAAATCAAAGAATGATTCCTCTTTAAATGATCTAAAAAAAAGTCCGCGACGCTAATTATATGACTATCTTAAATTTAGAAGGACACACCGAAGTCGTGGTTAACAGCTTAAGTTTATAAAGATAGAGGAGGTTTGCAAAAACGAATTTGGATGCCCAAAATAAATATTCTTAGCGGACAAAGTCGCTGGTACAGCTAGTAACAGATAAGTAGCGAAAAAATGTTCCAGTACATTTTCCAGCTTATGTTACGAAAATCAATAATGTTTTGATGTTGGATTTGATCTGAAAATCTAGATAGTACACTTGATGCTTGATAAACACCTTTTTACATCCAAGACAATGGGCTGTCGACCTTTTTTTATATTTATAAAATTTAGAAATGAATTAGAAACTATATATAACTGAGATATACTTATACTTTAATTTTTTTCTTTTTTATTATTTGGAAAATAAAAGACATGTATATCTATATCATTTATTTAAGAATGTATACACAGTGATGACTTAGATAAGTAATGTTTATTACCCAAATTTATTACAGACAATATATTATACGCAAATTATCTTACCGAAAACGCATGATTAGAACGAATGGTGAGCTAAAAACAAAAACGCGAGGTGCATATGTTTTTAAATGATGGGCGAAGACAGACCACTTCATGGTATAACGTCTAAACAAGATTCGATGTCGACCTATTCTGGCTTTGGTTATTCGTAAATCCACAGACCGAAACCTAAGAGTTTTTAAACGGCCCCCTCTTATAACGGTATTTCACTACCACAAGAGAGTTCGTGCTTCTCTATCATCTTCTATCATTAAAAATGGTAATATTATTGGTTAATTGCGATATGGCACGACCTGCCGCGTGAATGGTTTTCCATCGTCAAATAGTCCAATTTGAAGAACAGGGCACTAAAGCTGTGAGTTCGAGCCCCACCCCTGTGGCATCAAGTTTGTAAAAAATAATTTCCTTTTATGGTATAGTTCACGTTTAAGTAAACTTCAAAGATATATCTATTTTTTAATAAAACACTTTAACGGTTAAACTTATTTGAACATTATTTTGACTCGCGCGGCCCGACGTTCGTTTGCTTTGCAGAAGCCGTGGTCACGATGCGAAGATACATCTAAATAAGAAGAAAACTACTTATGACACAATTGTAAGCAATACACAACATTTTATTAACTCATTGACTATTTTTTTTAAAGTAAATATACGCTATGTAGAGTGTATATCAAGGACCACGACGCAGGATAAAGAATTTTAGGTGGCGTGCTATAATTAGTATTTTTATAAGCGTACTTTGGGAAATATATGAGATCGCGTGACTATGGACTAATTAATTTGAACATGTATATATTTACAGAACATGACTAGAACATTTCTAAGATTGACAATTTTAAGTCTTTTGTGTTAATGTAAATTTTACAATCGAGAACCACTTAAATTATAGCTTACATTTTAAACAGAATACTAAAAAACCTACGTCCTAAGTTAACGTGGCAAATATAAATTTTAATTTTAACTAAGCGAACCGAATTTAAAATAAAAGTTTTAATGGTCCTTCTATCCGGATATAATGCAATAATAAAACATAATATGTATTTTACAATATTTACATAACTAAGCACTAAATTAAACGCACAAAAGTATCTAATTCACGACTGTCGCCTTCTATCAATACAGCACACGGCACGCTTTAAATTCTCTGTGAAACCACTTTTCATTTGGACCTCTTTGGAAGTCTGTATCACATTATTCGGTTCAGTCTTTTGTACTACATCGTCGGATCACGTATCGGTACCGGGATATTTCTCTATTAAATCAAACTCCTCGTTACTGCATTTAGCAGCGGCGAACTGCTTTGGAATTGTCACTATAGGTTTTGCAATTTGATTCTCTATATTAACTAAAACATCTGCGACACATTTATGATCTTCCGGCGATTTCTCTTCAGTTTCATCAAATTCTGGTTTCGGTCCACCGTTCTTATTTTGTTTGTCTTTCACTTCCACTTTTATTTCATCCAATTCTTTTCCTTCTAGAATCATTTTGTGTGTCGCTTCTTCTATGACGCTGTCTGTTGGTGCTTCGTTTATGCAGGAGTGTGTTAGTGTAAAGGGTAGTTTGACTGAAACCTCACCGCCCATAGCACTAAGTGTTAACTTAACTTTCACGTAATACGATACGTAGATGGCAAACACGTTACGTTCGTCTTGAGACTTTGAGCTGCACAGAACAGTTGAGGCAAGGCTAGCGCCTGATTTGGAGTAGGAGTCCTCGAGAGCTATCCAGTTCTTGGTGACGCCTGGAAATGGTGTGGTATACAGATTAAAAGGAAAGTTATAAATATATATCAAAAGATCGATAGTACGAAATTTTGTTGGTCACAAAAATTTGGTAAACCTGACATGGAATCACTTATAAATAAACAAAATAATTCACTTTCCTATTCTAAAGCTCATATTCTTTTTTATAATCATCAAATAATTCTCGTCAAATAACAGGAGAACTGTTATCTGCTTTTGTTAATTCTAAACCGTTTGTATTATTTTGTGACAATAAATATTTGTATTCGTATTTGTAAATCGCAATTTTGTTACTTGTATCTTACCTCTATGCGGAGTCAATGTATATGTGTTGTTGTGTGTTTGATCTGGCAATACAGGAGTACCGGAACCTCTTAGCAGCGCCACGACATTCTTGAACTTTCCATTGGAGAACATACAAACATCTACGTGTTGTATAATAAGAACCTGTGAAGCAATACAATTTTATTTATCATTCTTCTTTTCAGATCTTTCATTATTTATATAACTTCCCGTTCCTCAATATACCCGAAAATAGAAGTGATTAAAGGATTTAAACCCTATTCATAAAGCATAAGGGCTTTATTTAATTTTATAAGATAAGGATTCTTCATAATATAATGACTTCTATAAAGACTTATTATAAGAAAATCTTCTATAATCTAAACGTTCTTATTGTTATGTATATTCTTTTGTTTTCTATTAATAGATTTACAACAAAGATATTAGAAGATACATTTTAAATTGATTAAGGCTTTCACGGCCATCGCCAAGCATATCATTGTTTCGGGCTGTTCGACCAACGTGAGCAAGAAGAGGTTCTCGACGTTTCGTCATCACAGGCGGACGGCATCATTAGGAGAAGTTAGCTCCCCGTTTGCTCGCAGAATTATGAGTTGTGATTTCCATTAGCCCTTTTGGGCTCCGCTAGGGGTGCTCTTGCGCGCCTTATAACAGGCGGTCCTTAGTGTCGAATCCAAGGTATGTGAACGCCCCCGCGTCTCGCGGTCCATCACTGACCGGTGAGACCCCCGGTAACCCCGGGGGAGGCCCAGCGAGGCGTTTAGCGAACGCGGGATCGACGTTCGATGTCAAATCCGGTGGTGTCACTTGCTGTTGCCGTCTACTGCTGCTGCAGGTAGAGGCGGAGAATCAGGAGGGGAAAGAGGTCTCGCGGAAGCGGGTAAAGTATGGCCCACAACTGCATGTTCGTGCGTATTTCCCAAATGACAATTAGCTTTATGTTCTGTTGTAAATACAAGAAAAATCTATGACACAGTTGAAACTTGATCTCGCTGTCAAAAGCGCGATTATAGCTGTCAATAGAGCATTGGCGGTTGGTCGTAGATTCTTATCCCGCCTGACATATTTTTTTCGAATGCTCCTAATAAACTTTATCATACAAAAGAAGTATTAAGATTTAATGAACAAAAGACACCGCCTCTGTTGACATTATTATCTAAGAAGATTTATGCTGAAACGGGTTCAGCTGTGAAACGGCCGCGGGCTGTTTTTAATCTTTAATTAAAGTCGCTCTTAATTGAACGATTCAAGTTTCTGAACAAGATTGTTTTTATTCAAACAAGGAGTAACGTCAGACACTAAAGTAATTCCTTAATGTATTGTTGTACCACTGCATAGTATGAAACAAACCCGCTTTTTCTGTCCCTACGTGCTCTTAATTCTTTAAAACGCACGCAACGGATATGCAGTTTTTTTTAAAGGTAGAGTGATTCAAGAGGAAGGTTCTTATATCGTTCAAAGCTTTTCTGTAATATATTTAGTATTGGCAATGCCGCCGAGCGAAGCCGGGGCGGGTCGCTAGTTGTTCATAAGTTAAATATATGAAATTAAAATTAACCCCAAATTCTATTGTACCCAATAGTCCAACAGTTTCACATAGGGGACATTCCATGCCAAGCGGACAGGTAAAATATGTTGATCCTTCAGATTTTAGTGTGTTATAGCTATTTAAATAAAACACTTTAACGGTTTAAAACGCGATATATTAGTTAAACTTATTTGAAAATGATTTTTAACTTCGGCCCGACGTTTCAGATGCTTTGCAGCAGCCGTGGTCACGGGATGTATAGCTATATAGGTCCTCAACGTCGACAATCAATATTTTTACTCTGTGATATAAGTTATGATTTAGAGGCTAATGAAGTTTTGTCTCTACAGCAGGAATGCGCTATTTGTATTCCAAAAAAAAAAAAATATATGTAAAATAAAATTAAGTAATACATGAGTTTTATAGTTTAGTTATTGAACTTTCCTTTGAAATTTTTAGAAAGTGGAATTCTATTTTTTTTTTTAATATTTTTATTTTTTAAACTCGATTTTCCCAAACTTGGACCACTTCATTTTTTTTAAATAGCTCTTAGTATGTAGATAATCCTTGCCAAGACTCATAATGGGCACGGGAGTAGTTTAGGAGTTACAAGGCCGGAGCGCAGCGGTAGGCGCCGTACCGCGCCTGCCGCTCGTTAGTAACAGTTATCTACCATTGCTACCATTAGACCAACGAACTCGTGAAAAGTTTAACGATAACTATTTTCTATGCATTAAAATATTCTTATTTAATAAGGGAATTTATCTACAGAGTCCCAATCTAGAAAGGTGAACCTTTTAAAAAATTACGTCAAAGCTGTTTTTAAATATATTTTTATACTAGCTGTGTAACTTCGTCCGCGAGAATCGATATTTTGGGCATCCAAAATATTTTTTGCATACCCCGTCATCGTTATAACTTAAGCTGTCACCCGCGACGTTGGTCGCGTCCCTTTCCTGTCGTCTTGAAAGTTAATTTAAAAGAGCATAAGCGTGGGATTTTTTGATCATTTACAGAGGAATTATTCTTCATAATAATTTTTTTTTTCTAGAACCGTTTTTGCAGCGTACACAATGGTAACATTGTGTACATTACAAAAACGGTTCAAGATGGATAAATAATTTTCCCCGTTTTTTCGACATTTACCGCTATATCTTCGCTCCTATTAGTCACAGCGATATGTTGTAGCCTTCCTCAATAAATGTTATCACCAACACAAAAAAAAAACAATTCGAACAAGTGGTTCATGAGATTAGCGCGTTCAAACAAACAAACTCTTCAGCTCTATATATTAGTATAGATTTAGAAGAGTATATAATATATATTTAAAATAATAGCCCTGTAATTGTAAAAGCTATGTTTACATCGTGATATGTAAACCGTGTAAGTTCATCGAAGTGAGACAATATTAGTCAAAGACCTTGATACCCGTCGATGCTGAAGCTTCGTGTTTGAAGGAAATTCAAGATTAATTTACTAATGATTCTCGTTCTTGACCTATTTTGGTGCAAGTTCGTGTGTAGTTATATCAAAGGCACGAGGAAGTTTTAAGTGAAAATTTTCATGTAGAAAATTAGTCGGGCCGTTGTTAAAATGAATTGTGAATAAGTTAAGCAATATATTTTGATTTTTAAACCGTGAACGTTTTTTATATATAACCAGGCGAGTGTGTCCCGTTTCGCCCCCAGGAGCACGGGGCGAACACATTTCTGTGTCCGTTCCACTGAATAGATTTCTTTACAAGCAAGTAGTTGATCAGACTTCTGTGCACTGCCTGACCGAAAGTATTGTTTCCCCAGGATTTGAACCCAGTACCATTACCAAATGTTATTGATAAATTGCTTTAGGAAAGTAAATGTGAGATAAAGTTCGAGAATAAATTGGATTCTAGGGGCACATACATATAATTTAATACACGTTTTTAATGTTTTTTATTAAGTTTTTAATAGGTCTTTTTGTAATATACTTTGACATTAGGGACATACATATTTCGCGATTAAAACCGTTCAAAATGTTTTATTTATAACTATTTTACTCGCGTAAACAATACTTAGTTAAATACTAAAAATATAATATAATAGACAATACCTTTATCCGTCTGATGGTTTTAGACGAGTGGTTGATTATATTGACACTGACGTTTACTGACTCGCCGTGCGCGTACGTCGCTTTATCCAGCCAAGCTTCTAGCTCCACTCTGACGAAGAATAACAACTTGAGTACTTTAAAAATCGAAAATAAATTGAAAAAAAAATCGACTCGGGCAGGACTTGAACCGGCATCGTCAGCGTTCCGTGCTGTTGCTCTACCAATAAAACTACCGAGTCCCCCGTGCTGTTGCTCAACTTGGTTTTCAATTTATTTTAGATCTAAAAATTATATAGTGCCTTCATGTGCAATAACATCTAAAAAAATAAAAATAAAGTTTTCAAACTCGAGTACTCAATAAATACATCATTTCTCTCTTTACATCTTGCAATTTTTTTAACGGACATTAAAAAAGCTCTTGAGCAAATAGGCGTCAGGTATTTCCTATTTAAATAAAATACTCTTAACGGTTATACATTTCTCGTTTAAAACCGTTAAAAGTGTTTTATTTCAATGTGTTTGTCATCTTACTACAACAACTACTCGCGTACTACTACAGAGCGTACGGAATTTTACTGTTCATTTCCGTGTACACGCTTAACAATTTTTTATGACAGAAGACGACAGACAAACACAGAATTTATTTTAAGGAAAATGACATATCCCTGCCCTGTAAATTGTAATTAGTAAGGTGCGCTATCGGCCTAATTTATGGTTTAGACAATAGGAATTGAAGCGCGGATTAACGCCTTGGTTTATGACTTAAAATTGATGGAATTCGATAATATAAACACTCAATGTCTTAATTTTCTAATATATTACCTGAAATAATGTAAAATGATTAGAAATAAGTACATCGATTAGGCATCGAACCCACGGCCTGATGTTTAGCACGACAATGCTAACATGTACCCAACGCGAACGTTATAAACTTATGTTACTATTGGTTCATTTCTTAAACTAGAACATTTAAGGTAGCGTATGATTCTTGCTTTCTTCTTCTTTCTCAACATTTGAGCGTTATTGTATCAAGTCTGTGATATTTACTACGGACTAAATAATTCAAATGAAGAACTAAGGATGTTTTTTTCGAGAAAGCGGTCCATTTTCCGCTGAGAAACGACGGAGACGATTTTCTTTTATTTATATTGAAATGAAGACGAGATGGGTATTATGATACGAAATTATACTTCGCAGCATCTTATCTTTGTAAAAGATAACAATTGTAATTTTAAGAATAAGATGTCTCTTATAAATCTTAGTGTCTCTTGTAATGGTTGGCATATGCAGATGAGTGATTTTTGTAGATCAAATTTAAATAATAGTTTAAATGCCGCGACTTTCGAGCTGTTCGTAGCTAAACTAAACTTTTTTTTATAGTAAAAATTCTATTCTAATATATAAAGCTGAAGAGCTTGTTTGTTTGAACGCGCTAATCTCAGGAACTATTGAATCTAATTAAAACTTATCTTGGTTAGAGCATTCGTTGAGGAATGTTATAACGCTGCGAACAATAGGAGCGAAGAAACAGCAGGAAATGTAGAGAAAATCGGAAAATTACTAATATCTGTGGGTTTCCGTTGCGTACACAATGAAGGCGGTTTAAGATACCCAAAAATATGTTTTTTTTACCTATTAACTTGCAAAATCGACAGGACCGAGCCCCACGTTGTGGGCAATAGCTTAAATCTATAAACATAAAGAGGATTTTTGCCAAATGCTCAATGATGCCCAAAATAACTTCTACGCGGACGAAGTCGCTGACACAGCTAGTGATGTTGTAATATTCAGTTCGTACCCCTAAAGTGTTTGAAATTAAAGGAGATTATAATTTAATTGCGTATGCAGTGACGTCATATAAACAAAATCTGTTTCTCATACTGAAATATTTTACGTGCTAATTTTATTTACGTTGCGCTACTTAAAACATCGTTACGTTTTACGGCCGTGTATAATTTTGTTTTCATATTTTACGACCACGTAAACCCGACGCGGTTTTATTTTCTATTTACGGTTCACCTCAGTTGCTACAGTTCAATGAATTTATGAAGATCCATTAAAGAATCTACATCTAGATTGCACCTAATTATAAGCACAGGAAGAAATATGACAATCTCTTTTAGTTTTTATAACCCGGGACTCGAACTCACGACCACATAGTTACCAACTATTTATTTTTATTATAACGTGCGGCACGCCACCGTCAATACTAACCGGATGTTTGTGGCTAAAGCATGGTTGCTGAGGGGGACATTGGCCTCGACTTAGACCACCACTATGCGGATGGAAGCTTAAGTAGCTGGACGGAAATCAATCTAGCTAGCTACCGTGAGTTCGTAAGAGTGTTATAATATGTAATTCTATATATAACACTCTTTTCAACACTTGTACAAAATGCGTCTTTGGGTTTAAGGCGAACCGTGTAATTGAATGTTTTCAATTGAACTTACAGTATTAATATTTGTAAAATAAAATGATTTTATCATCAATTTTTATGAAAAAATAATGTACGTTATGTAATATTTTTTCTATTCATGATTTTTTCCCGTAACGTATATCTACTTAACTAGCTGTGTTAGCGACTTCGTCTACGTAGAAATACTTAGGGTATCAACTCCAACCTGTTCAACTCTATAAATTGCAACGGTACCCACGACGTCTTCCGCGTCCAGTTAACCTTAAGAGATAGACATATAATGTCGCGGGCATTTTTTTGATCGTTTAAAAAGGAATCATTCTTTTATATATATTTCTTGGGTATTTTGAATCGTGTGCGCCGTGGCGTACGCAACGGAAAGTCATAAGGATAATTAATTTTTCTTCTGTTTCTTAGATTTTATTAGTCACAGTGCTATTTACAGCAAAAAGATTTTTTTTAATTTCAACCACTAGTAGTGAAATAACGCGTGCGAACAAACAAACTCGTCAGTTTTATATATTAGTATTATATATTAACTGTCCGTAAGTATCATTTTATTTATTACTTTTGCTTTTCAACTACTTTTTGTTTTCGTTTGCTTAAAATGCACTTAATTTAAAAATCGAAAATAAATCGAAAAAACCCTGAAACTGTTGACTCGGGCAGTAATTGATTGATTGAATTGCAGAGCAAAGCACGGAAAGCTGACGATGCCGGTTCAAGTCCTGCCCGAGTCGAAAATTTTTTCAATTTATTTTCGATTTTTAAATTATATAGTCTTCATGTGTGCAATAACATGTGAAAAATATTAATGTTTTTAAAATGCACATTTATTATTGCTACAAACTGCTCGCATACGGTTTCAATATTATGAAAGTACTAAAACTTCAAAATCCACATCACGAAAGCGGAAATAGATCACTTAACAAACTACGAATTTCTCACACACAAGGAAGTTATTGAATCTATAAAATTTAAATGTCAGTAAAACTATCACTAAGGCATGTTCATTATAACAACTCCCACAGCTGGGAATTGTTATAATGAACATGTGAGCCTTAATGTACTGTACTTATAAAACATGTGACTTTTTGAATGTTTATTGTAACTTTCGTCAAGGGTCCCTTGACAGCCCTTTGCACGGATTTTCGAGGCCATAATATCATAGCGGATTCAAAAATACTTTATCGTCACATAAAAAACCTATTTACTAATTTTCAAGATACTATACTTGAAATGTATTCTAATATATAAAGCTGAAGAGTTTGTTTGTTTGTTTGAAGGGAACTACTGGTTCGAATTAAAGCATTTATCGAGGAAGCTTATAGCCTATAAAACATCGCAATATGACTAATAGGCGAGAAATGTGGAATATATTTGGAAAAATTATTCATCTCTGTACGATCTCTGTATCATGCGACAACGATTCAAGATACCTCTTTAAATTAGTTTAAAAAAAAATGTCCGCGACACTATGTCTATCTCTTAAGGTTAACTTGTAAGAACGACGGGAAGGGACGCGACTGACGTCGTAGGTAACTGCTTAAGTTTATAAAGATTTGCAAAATGATTTTGGATGCCCAAAATAACGATTCCCGCGGACGAAGTCTCAGCTAGTTATTTATAAGTTAGTACGTGTGATTTTTTTATTGTAGTTTTTGTTTGTGGTTTGTGTTAGGAATAATAAAGCTGTAATATATAAATAAATATACATTTACCTTTAAACACAAATTAAATTCTCACCTGCCGTCTGATAATAAAAAAGGCTTTTCCACAGCGACCCGAGGTGGTGTCGGCTCCTGGTTCTCTGAAATCAAATTAACCGTATTACTCCGTGTGCCTTTAGGATTTGTAACGAGTAAGTTTGCTTTGATGAATTCTTTATTTCCTTAGGTGACGTGGAAATAGGCTGAGCGTCTTGTTAATTATTTATTAAAAGGATAGCTTCGCTACATTTAAAGAGGAAAAGAACAAAGCCAAATGAAGTATAAATGAAAAGAAACATACAAACAATATGTATATATAACTGGAAGGATGCTGTGATTTTACATAGTAAATTACTCGTAACAAAAAATTAATGATCCAAGGCCCGTTCTACGAAAAAGGGGATGAAAATAATAGTTTTATTTTTGAAGGGTAAATTTTAACGTTTATATAATCTGTGTCAGCTGGATCATTTATCATAATGGTTCGTTACCCAATTGATTAAAATAAAGGCGTACCTAGCGCCATACAAGCAAAATGATTGCTAGTTTCTCTCTTAGCCTTTGTCGGGTCAAATAGGATATCGCCAAGTTAGTATTAGTTCTTGCTTTAAAACCCTCACACTATTTAATAATATAAATATAATAAAATGGGAAGCGGGCTCCAATAAAAGCAGTAACTCGACTTTTATAGAACGAAGAAGACGATTTTCATAAGTAGAAAATAAAAATGCGGCATAACATAGGCGTAAATGAATTTGTATTGTTGGTGTAAGAGTGGCGTATTAACAATTTTCGTAATAGAATGATTTGTTTCTTAACTAATACTGGTTTACGCGAGTAAGTACACATTAAATAAAAATGCGCAATTAACACGTAGATGAATTTGTATTGTTTGAGTAACAATCATGTTTAACTAATATTTCGGTTCATGACGGAATGATTATTGTTTCTTAACATTTTTAACTATAAAAATATAAATAAGTCAAGTCATAAAATTGCAGTGAGGCTACTACGGCTCTAGCAGCGTCACACGTCATACAATTTCATAAATAGATATTGAGTTTATAAAAACGTTATGATATGTTTTTATAATAATAGTTGAGGACAAGATAACCATTGTGTTGACACATCAGACACAGTTTGTGCAAAGACGGCATAGTAAAAATCAAAATTAACATTCATTTATTCATGTAGGTACACTTATGAACGTTATTACAGTTAAAAAATTAAAAAGTCTACCAGTTCCTAAATTGAGGAAACTCGCCGCCATTCCTTTTATAGTTAAATTTTTGTTACAAATTCCTTTCGCACTTAATGTGTACATCTTTTCCTTGATAGTGCTGGTTCCATCAAAGCGGAAGCATTGTTTTCATTTAGATATAGTAACCCTTTCCATGCTGTTTTTGTTTAACAATATTTATACTAAATACTATCTGTAGTTTACGCGGGTAATATACATTTAAATAAAATAACGTAATGGTTTCAAACGCAAAATATATTACTTAAACTTATTTGAGTCTCCTCGTGACCACGGCTGCTGTAAAGCATCCGAAACATCGGGCCGTAGTTAAAATAATTTTCAAATCAGTTTGACCAATATATATCGCGTTATAAACCGTTACAGTATTTCAAAAGATTTAAACATATTTATTGACACTATGTCAACCTCATTAGGGATTTTGTTAAAACACTACGGGAATTCAGCCTGCCTTGGTAAACACATACAAAGTTAAACTTCCCGCAAATGTCAATTTGATTCGCCGTAAACATTGAGAGTCAAAGAGATAAAGCTCTGAATTCTTAGAACGTTGATTAAGCTAAGCACAATATTTCGTTTGAAGTGTTTAGTTTTATTTCATCATTTGGTTTGTTTTATTTGTCTTCGTTTTATGTAGGTTTGTTGTAAACAGTACTAAGATTTTATATTATTCGTCCAATGTACGTCATGAGTCATATGTAAGAAAATGTATTTATAATTTGTTTTTCGTCTGTGTTATATAATAGTTTTATATTTACTACATATGTGTAAATTATTAAAAAGAATTACATATGAAATACTACAAATATTATATATCAATTATAGTAACATGTATTTTTTCTAACTTGGTAAAAGATCACAACAAATTTTATTAATTTTAGCATTAAATTGTGGCTAGGCTGGCTGGGTAGTAAATTAGTTTAATATACAGGGTGTCCCAAATAGTAGTGTCAAGCGCTAGTCCCAAGATAGAACACCCCTTGGAGCATCCGAAACACTACCATGTATGTTCTGCGATTTTTTCGATTTAGTTTTCGAGTTACGAATTATTTTCTAAAATGTTGAGAATTTTTGGCCTAAACAACTTAAACGCTAATTTAAAAAAGGTGATAAGACTTTTTCTAGATGTTTTTTAAGTTTAAATTTTAATTCAGTGTCTCAAAGTGTTTTTAATGTAAATCAAAGTAAACTTTTTCAGAAACTCACTATTTCTTTTAAATTGTGTTCGTTCACAAAAATGCCAATTAAGAAAAAACTTACACTATAGGATAGAGGAAAGTTGAATTACAGTTAAAAATATGAATTTTCAAAGCAAAATACATTAGATATTAAAAGCTTTCCTTTGAATTAACATTAAAACTCACACATTTTACTCACCAATTTCGTCTGTCTTGGGCCGGCTACTTTGATCCGTTTCCGATTTTATTTTGCCTTTTAGCCTGAAAGGTCATTAAAAAAGTACATAACTGTTACGTATAAAAATGACGAAGTAGACGTTTGTATAACAATTTTCATGAATTAAATATTTGAATTACTACCCACTTCAAATTTGTATACATAGTCTACATATATCAAAAAAATTAAGAAGGGGTTTTTTATCCCCTTACGTTAGAATCTACTTATGTTAGAATTACGATCTAATTGGTGTAATAGTCAAACATATTTCAAGTATTATAATAAGAAAAATTATACATTAATTTATATGTTGGATGGTCGTCTGCATTATGTAAATGGTTTAAATATCGAAAATTAAAAAAAAAATCGACTTGGGGAGGACTTGAACCGGCATCGTCAGCGTTCCATGCTGTTGCTCTATTCTATATTAAATGGTTGTTATGAATTTCAAAATACCGCCCCGTTTCGGTTTCTCTCTGTGGATTTCCGAATATGCAAAGCATAAATAAGTCGACTGCGCATCATGTTAAGATGTTTTATGGCTGGAGTATTTCACCTACCATCAAGTGAACTGCGAACAGACATGTCTGTGTCGCATGTCTGTGTCCATGTCTGTGTCCATGTCTGTGTCGCATGTCTGTCGTCCTCAATCGTAAGAAGTCTAACGAACCAACAATCGTTAAAATAAAATAAAATATACTTTTGAAAACTTTATTAATTTTTACATGTTATTGCACATGAAGGCACTATATAATTTAAAAATCGAAAATAAATTGTAAAATTTTTCGACTCGGACAGGACTTGAACCGCATGTTCCTGTTGCTCTACCAATTGAGCTACCGAGTCGGTACGATTTTTAAATTAAAACCTACTTTATTTTGTTTAAAATTTATTTAGATTCGTCAACATTTTTCGTTCGTCGTGATTTTACAGAGTGTTCAAGAGAGCAACATAACTGAGAAGAACACCCAAGACACTCAGTCTGGTTTTTTTAACATGCCTTATAAACTAATATGTTCTTGTGAATTTATTAACCTAAGGAGCAATTCATATAACTGCCAGGCGGTCTTGTCATTAAAGATATCGTTCAGACAATAATACACCTTTTGAGACAATCTAAATTTTTAAACTTTCTGAAATTTATTTATCGATAAAATTGTGTGCGTGTATGTGTACAATGTAAGGGGTAATTTTCAAATTTAATATATTTCCCGTTTGTGACGGCATGGGAGGGACTTGAACCGGCATCTACACATATCCATAATGCTCCAACCAATAGAGCTATCGTGTGGGTCTAACGTATCAAGTAGCGCCTGAGTCATCCATTTATTTTCAAACTTAATAAATTTTATAATTATTTTTTCACTTATTTTCAAGTCGTTATATTACGATCAATAGCTCTTGGTGCCTCGCACAAATAACTGCCTGAAATCAAATTAATGTGGAACAATGATTTAATAATGTTTTCACCACAAAAGAGCGAGATAACATAATTGCCTGCATTTGAAGTTTCTATTTGTAGGTAACTACGTGCCTCGCTTACGTAAAGCTACGAATAATACTGACGTAGCCTATCACTTGCTACGCCGTAGCTTAGTTCTACGCTGTACTATACCAACGTTAGTTCGAGATGAATTAGTTTCACATTATACTAGCTGTGTCAGACTTCGTCCGCGTAGTATATTTAATTGGACATCAATTTTGTAATTGCAAACCTCTATAAGTTAGCTTTTACCCACGACTTTGTCCACGTCCTGTCGTTCTTGCAAGTTACTTTAATTTAAAGAGGAATCATTCTTTCATACTTATTTTTTGTGTATCTACAAGGATGAATAATTCTCACAGCACGATATTTTAAAGCCTATAGTTTTCGAAATGCTCTACCCTACACAATAATACTTTTTTTTCTATTCGAACCTGTAGTTTCTGAGATTGACGCGTTCAAAAATATAAAGATATTAGATATCTCTATTTTAAGTTAATGACATCTATTAAGAAATCGTTACATGTTATAAAAGTTAATTAAACACTAATTTTTAGATAAAAAAAATTAAAACACGTATGGGACTCGAACCTGTTATATTTAACTGAGTAAATTTAAATAAAACACTTTAACGGTTTAAAATACGAAATATATAAGTTTACTTCTTTACAATTTATATTAACGACCCGAGGTTTTAATTGATGTGCAGCAACCGTAGTCACGGGATTCGTCTCGTTTAAAACCGCCAAAATGTTTTATTTTCATGAATACCCGCGTAAATACAGATAATTCTTAGTAACAAATCTTAAATTAAAAACTTGAAATTTTAAGTTAGTATATACAAACTTTTTCCTAAAATTTGTTATTTTACTAAATAATGTTATCCCATGTTACTTTCACGGCATTCGTTCAGCTATGAATAAATTGAGATAGCAAAATATGACGTGGAATGGCAAACAATAGGCACGCTGACCACAGGGTACTAAATAAACCAGAAGGAGTGTTCGTCCGCACCTCTCCACCGTCTCCTCTCAGCCTTTACAGTAAAGAGTTGGGAACTATTTCCTTTTTTTTGTCTCATGATCTATATTTTTTTTCTAAACTATTCTATATTTCCATTCTATTTAGGACGGAAATATACCTGACTAGTCCGTTAACAAACCACTATGATTTGTACTATTGCCTCCTGATTAAATCAGTATTCTGTGGTTTTCAGGTACCGCAAATGACGAGCGTACAAGAACCGTTGCCATGGAAACAGATAAAAGCAGCGACGTGTGAAATGTTATCCGCTTACTATATTTGAAAAGGGTTCAGTGTGACCTGTTTATATTGTTACGGGTCATATTTAAGATAATGTTTTATGTAAGCATAATAAAATTGTAACCGAAACATTAAATACAAGTAGATATAAGAAATGAGACTAGTATTAGGATACGGGTTTTAAATTAATCTAAAAGTAAAAATTGAAATCTGCATTACGTAAAACGCGATAAATTTATTTGAAAATATTTTAGTAATACAGAGTACTTACTGTAGCCTGTTTGAGGTGACCGTCAATATATTTACTAATATATCGCGAATATATAATATATAATATATTTATATTGGAATATCAGTCGATATACATATGTATTATATAATACTCATCCTGGATATTCATTATTTTTATAAGAATAAACTCCTCAAATAAACAAAAGTCTCCCCGTGACCACGGCGACAAAGCATGGCTCGCTATATATAATTTGTGAATCAGTTTAACAAATAAATTTCGCATTTTTAGAGCGTTAAGGTTGAAAACATTATTAGACGTCCAATCTACGCAATGGTATTGAAAAAATCGACAATGACGTATGGGACACGGTAGTTTCATTGGTAAGAGCAACAGTACGGAACGCTAAGAATGCCGCTTCGAGTCCTGCCCGTGTTGTAAATATTTTACAATATAAAATCAATTTCTAATTGCTGTGCCTATAATGATTATGTTCTAGTTGGGTAGATCGTTCCACAAGATCAATGTATACTCTACACAATTTTTCCTCGATATTAGGTTATCCAAAAAGGGTTCTTTAGATATAGACATTAGTAAAATTAATACCGACTGTATAATACGCAACGGTAGGAGAACAATACTAGGCCTTGTACTGTCATGTACATTTATATCAATGTCCGCCTACGTTGCAATATTGCGTGGCTATTTATGTAAGGGAAATATTATTAAAATGAAAATCCCGATAGGTTTGAAAGTCGGAAAATTGTATGAAAATATACCCCATACATTGTTACTGTATATCTTTGTGTATAAATAAAAGGAATTTAATAAAGATCTATTTAAATTGAAATAAGTCACGACATGGGCGGGACTAGTATCCACATCGTGCCTTGCACGGTAGCTCAATTGGTTTACAGTAGTAGCACGGTAAGCTGTGTATGCAGATTCAAGTCCCCGTCCAAGAAAAATGTATAAACTCTACATTGGGACATTGTAGTGTTCTATTTGTGTACTACAGCGATATATTTAGCCATTTTTATGACCATTAAATCTTAAAAATTATTGCAATGGGCGGCCTTATCGCTATAGAGCGATCTTTTCCAGACAACCCTTGTTTAAAAATAAAAAGAGGTACCTACATCATGAGAACGCGTAGAGTTGAGTTTAACAATATTTATTACATCAAATTATTATTTTTATTAATAAATTTAATTTTTGCTGTTTCTATTGTTAGAATTCAGATATATTTTTATTACTTTTAGTTTCACGTTGAATTATTGATTCACTAATTATAAGTATAGTACTCATATATATTTATTTATTTTATGTTTACAAAAAAGTTTCTCGATAACTTACCTTAGAACATTATGATGCGCAAGAACACTCAAAGGATGTTGTGTGGACTGTGTTGGTAACACCGCGGGCTGTGGTCTTCCCGCACCTTGCAACACTCGGATACCCATGCGAACTGTGTTCCGTCGAGATATTTTTTCATCTGCTTGGTCCGCTAAAGGAAATAAAATTATAACAATAAATTGTGTAAGGCTTTCACGGCCATCGTTCAGCATATCGTCAGAGGTTCTCGACGTTTCGCCATCACGTGTGGACGGCATCATCAGGAGATGTTAACTCCTCGATTGCTCGAAGAGTTAAAATTATTACAGTTGCAACTATTTTTGACCGACGTAGCTAAATGGTCAAGAAAGGCCCTGGGTTTGAGTCCGGACGAAAAAATATAGAAGTCTGATCATATTTTTATGTTTTCGTCCCATGTTGGGGGATAAAGTTCACTTTTCTACTTGTTATATAAAAGAGTTTTCTATGTATTTATGTGTCATTGCCTACGCAAATATTTAAAACAACACACCCGTTTTTAATTTTTTTAATCTTATAGTTCACATTTATATAAAAGATCTTTATTTAATATAAATTTATAAAACTTTTATCTTACCAATATATGCGCGAACGTCGTAAGATGTACCGATTGGTGCGCCGTGATATTGCTTCGCTGGTACCAACTGCACACTAGGTGGCGCTAGTGGGGTTAATTCTAAGTGAAACGGGAAAACATTTGCACCTAGGCGTTTTATCAGCGCGTCCTGAAACAAGAATAGTTTTATTAATAATGGTAGTTGAGATTATTTGAATATAGAATTTCTTATTTTAAATGGAAAATATGAATGTGCAATAACATGTGAAAAATAAATTTCACATGTTATTGCACACGATGGCACTATGCAATTTAAAAATCGAACAGCACGGAACGCTTTGGAAGCCGGTTCAAGTCCTGCCCAAGACGCAAATTGTTTCTATTTTAAATCGATTTTTAAATGTTTAATTATAACCTAGTAAGTCAATGATTCGGTTTTTAAAGATCTTGTATCGCTCTTACATAGCAAAAATTTTAATGAACGACTAGAAAACGAACACCTTCACGGTATAAGGTTGTGTTATAATTCCTTTTACCCACTGTCGGTCTCTATGTATTTTCCAATCTAGCGGTTTTATTACTGTGCAAAATAAAAATATATAAAAGTTTCGTAACACCGGCAATGGAAATTCAATAAGGCAATTTTAATTACTGTTCCCGTATTTGATATCAATAGGTATCGGTGACAGAATTACCATTATTATATTATAATATTCTTTTTATTATAACTTTGAGATATTTTTATAATAGAGGAAATTAGACACGAACGGGGCTCACTCGATGCAAGGTGACTGTTTTAGATTGTGAAATTCGGAAATCCATAGATTGAAGCCAAATCCCGGATTTACACTGCACAGCTTTTTGTGCAGCGTATGTGTGTGGTGGTTTGTTCGGATTAAAACAAGTATTCCTCAAATCCTCCTCCAGATTTACAGACAAAGTCCAAGATGATTCAGACAAATGATAAATTGATTTGAAACCTTTTTCGACCCGGTAGAGATAGAACCCCACGATCCGTTGATTATTAGGAATATATAGCTTTATCACCATTACACAAATGAGCTCGGTAGCTCAATTGGTAGAGCACGGAACGCTAACGATGCCGGTTCAAGTCCTGCCCAAATCGATTTATTTATTCAATTTATTTTCAATTTTTAAATTATACAAGTGAGCTAGTCAAAAATATTCTGCTAAAAGGTCGGTCAAACAAACTCAAAGGACTGTACGGTTATAATACATTTATTTATTACATATAATAGAGTTACACTAGCAGAAATATATAATATTAACCCGTTTTATTTGTATATTCCTTACCTGTAGTGGGCTGTTAGGTTCGACATCGTGTTTGCAGTGAAGAGGCCAAATTTGTACCAAACTCATGATGGCTTCGTTGCAAAATTTCAAACCCATCACCTCTTCGTCTTCGCGGCCATATCTGAAAAATTATTATAATTAATATCTTGTATTTTGCTATTATATTTATTTTGTATACCTACCCTATATAATTGTAAAACGGGGAGACTAAACGGGAAACGGGGGATTAAAAATAAGTTTAACTAATATATATTGCGTTTGAAACGGTTAAAGTGTTTTATTTAAATGTATACTACTCGCGTAAACTACAGACAGTATCTAACATTTAAATTTAGAATACTTGGACAAGTTTCGTTGGTATAAAAATAATTGTAAATTATGGCTTACTCTCTTTACAAGTCGTCTTGCCTAATAATATGACATTTTAAAAGTGATTATTATGAACACATATTCATATTAAATTATGTAAAGATACAAGGCCCAAGTAAGGTAAGCAAAAGAAACTTATGTTTAAATAAAATATTAATCAATTAAATTTCTAAATACATTATGCTACTACACGTAGATAATAATAAGTTCACTTATATCTTTCACGTTTTAAACTATTTAAAGGGTTCAATTAAATGTGTATCTGCGTAAACTAAATATAATAGTTATGTCAGCCTCGTTTGACTTATTTCAAGTTATGGACGCGTCTCTAACTGGACCACAATTAGCTAACTTTCTAAAATTATAGATATTTCCTTATAATTTCGTAACTTTATTTGCACTAAATCTTAGATGTTTCCTTCATTAATGTCTCAGCGCAGATGTCCCAAATAACGGACATTCCTTGTCGCAAATGATGATATAATGCTAAGAATTTTCCTAAAGCGATTCTTCGCTTTTATTGGAAAGGTTGTTAATAATGTCGAGATGCCGTCGGCAGTATCGTTATAATATAAAATGGAAGTCGTAGACATTTTTCTAGATATTACGAGTAAAGCTTTTTCTAATTATCCGTGCGTTGTGGAAACGGTTCTAATGAAAATTTATAAGAAATATGGTAGTTTAGGTTCGCAATACATTGCCGTTTTTATATAAAACATGTTGATGTAATATTAATTAGAAATCTATACTAATATTATAAATCTGAAGAGTTTGTTTGAACGCGCTAAACTCAGGAATTGCTAGTTCGAATTGAAAAATTTTTTTCGTTGCATTTAACGAGGAAAGCTTTAATCTATGATAGTATATATATATATATATATATATCTATCTTCGGATGGAACGCGACATCGTGGGTTGAGAAGATCACAGTCAAAACACAGTAGTGCAATAGCAAGAAACGCTGTTGGTTCAAGTCCCACCATTTTTTTATTAAATATTTTTTATTTTATTATAATATGTTTTTAAATATAGTTTCTACGCGTAGTCGGCAATGTCAAAGGCAAAGTTAAAAATACATTATTCACGTAGGTAAATAGGTATATATAAACAATTGTATGTACTTACTAAAATGAAATATGCCCTTAGTGAATGAAATTAATAAAACTAGCAAAATACATTTCGTCTAGTCCTATCATAACACCCCCAGGCGTATACGGCCACTAAATAAATACTAATAAAATACAGCCCTTTGTCCAGTTGTTGTGGACCTTTACTTGATCAAAATGTATCTAAGGACAAGTACACACTGCGGAAACCTTAAAAAAATAACGTGTAATCAAATATAACCACAAGCCAAAATCGAAGGGGTTAAAAAAAATATTACTTACAATCATATAAGGTTTGATCTTCTCGTAATTTGAATTAAAAAGTAGTAGAAGTTTGAAGAGTTTGGTTTATAGATTCTTCATCGATGACCAAAGCTACTTGTATGCAAAAAGATATAGGTATATATTGCGCAACAGTGAATACCTAGCTTAAAAACTATTGCTTATCTATGGAATCATGTTGAATAGTTCACCAGAATACGTCTGAAATTGGCCGTGGTCTTGTATTATTCAGTAGTGACAGAGAATACAAAATGGAATTTATTGGAAAAATTAAACCTGTAATAGATTTTTGTCATAGATAAATAACATATTTTTTAAATAACGTTTTAAACTGCGAAATGTATTAATTAACTTATTTACAATTTGGGATGGTCATAGAGGAACCACGACTACTAAAGCTACAAAATTGTGAATAAGTTAACGAATATATTTCGCATTTTAAACCGGTAAACGTGTTTTATTGAAATGTGTACTGGGCGCGTAAACTACAGACATCTTAAGAAGATTATGTTTACGAAAATAGAAAAGTATATTTGATGTCTTTTGAAAAACGAATTCCTTATTTATTGTTAAACTAGCTGCGTCAGCGACATCGTCCGCGTGGATTAGTCATTTTGAGCATCCAAATTTGTTCTTTGTAAACCTACTATTCATCTTTATAAATTTTAAGCTTATATCCACGATATTAGGGTCCCGTCGTTCTAGCAAGTTAATATTAAAAGATAGACATATAAAAGTGTCGAGGACATTTTATTAGATCATTTAAAGAGAAAAATTATTTCATACATATTTTTTAGGTTGAACTGTTAATTGATAAATGATTTCCCCCGTTTTTTTCTCGTTGTTTCTGCGCTCCTATTAGTCAAAGAGCTTAGCCTATAGCCTTCCTCGATAAATAAATGTTTAATTCGACCCAGGCGTTCTTGAGATAAGCGCGATCAAACAAACAATGAAACTCTTCAGCTTTATATATTAGTATAGATAAACTGTTAAGTGCAAAATGCTGACGATGCAGGTTCGAGTCCTGCCCGAGTCGTATTTTTTTTTCAATTTGTAATCGATTTTTAAATTATATGTGAAACATATTAAAGTTTTTACACTTATTAAAAATGAGCATACCTAATACAAAAAAACGGATATATTATTAAACTTATTTGAAAATGATTAAAAATTAACAAAAAACCTTGCATAGTTCCCGTACCACCTCCAAACCGTGGGAAGTAAAAATTTTTTAAATAAGTAATTTGTTTAAACCTTAAAGTGTTTTATTTAAATGTGTACTACTCGCAATTAGACGTTCCTAATATTGCATAAATTTAGCATGTCCAATCTCTCTTCATACAAAATGTATGAGTATTAAGTGACTATGTAAATTCATGAGGAGGTACGGTTTGTACCAACGAAAGGAGCGTGCAAAGTATTATTTATTACTTCAAGATAGGCGAAGTTATTTACGAGTAAATATGAGAATTATGTAAACGCCTAGATAGCTCAAGGGTCAAGGCACAAAAGGTTCTGGGTTCGCATCACGGGCAATTGATAAATTCGTTTCCCAGGGCACAGAGGTCTGATCAACTAATCCTTTCGTCTTTGAATCAAATTGTTTTGTAAAACGAATTTCTATATTTAAGACACAAAGGTTTATTGTAAAATATCTCCTATATGGGCACTGAGTTTGGTACTGAGTTTTTAGTTTACGATAATTAGATACGTTTTAATCAGTTCGCTTTTTATTATTTGTACTATATAGAGAGAGAGACAAACATGGGGTTTGGGGTAGGTGATATACCAGCCACATAACATCTAAACACGATGTGCTGTCGACCTATTATGGATATCAGGAAACTTGACGGATATTACTATTTAATTACCATAGTTCCAGACGTAGTCCAACATGTTTCAGAATATATATTAAAAAATTGATTAGAAAAATATTGAACTCGGAGAGGTTCGAACCCATGTCAAAAACTACATAAACTCGTTTTAAATGTTGCCTTTTTATTATTTTTGTTTGCCTATATTGCATTTTAATTGTTAAGTCTTTTTAATTTACGGGCTATACACATGAATATTTATATTGTATGGATCAATTTTTAAACTTTTATATTTTCAAAATATATCTAGTTGATAAATGTAATCCTTACTACAAATAAAAGTTGTACCCGAGCGAAGTGAAAATCCGTGTTGAAAAAGCGCTGTTACAAAAGCACACTTCTAAATATAAAAGGCGGATTTCAACGCGAGCGGATGCAATGTGTATTTGAATTATTATATTCTGCTATTTTTTGTAAAGAATATAAATTATTTAAATGAAACACCTTTTACGGTTTAAAATGCAAAATGTATTACCTTATTTAAAATCTATTTAAACTAAGGTTCGATTTCGGATGCTTTATACCAGCCGTGATCATGGTATGTTAAAGTAATATATTTCGCGTTTTAAACCGTTAAAAGTGTTTTATTTAAATTTCATAAAATACAATCTAAGCGGCCCTACATTAAATACATAACTATACTATGTCTAATATAGGATGGTAATTTTGAAAGCTTACAATACAGAGTTTTTTTCATCGAAAATCTATCATGCTATATGAGACAGACTATATGAGATTTTTCATGTAAATCTTGACAGCCTCGTTGGTGATCAATTTATAATTTTTCTGAAACACTGACTTTATCTGGAAATGTGGATAATCAATGGGTGGTAGGTATATAAAATTTCGTCCGGGTCCAACCACAGTCCACAGATGACAAAGCCGTGAAGTTTAACCACGTTTCGGTTTTATGTGGATTTCCGAATATCCAAAGCCAAAATAGTTCAACAGCGCATCTTGTTCAGACGCTATAGGCCGATGGTAGTTCTTTTGATGGTAGGTATTTCACCTACCATCAAGTGGACCCCAGTCCTCCTCTATCATTAAAAAAAAATATTACAAAGGACTTACCTGAAAGTAAGTGTAACTTGTCCGAAGAGCTTCTTGTTCTCCAAGCTTCCATCCACATGCAGCACCCCCTGGATCTTGTCTATACTCCCATTCTCCACAATCAGGTCGCGAGAAGCCAAGTACATTGTTAGCTTGTTGTTTGGAGATGATTTCTTGAAGACCCTTAAATAATACAACACTTCGAGTATTTGAAGCAATTCTTCGGATGATGTATGTCGTTTACGTTTAAATAAAACACTTTAACGGTTTAAAACGCGATATGGTTAAACTTATTGAGAATGATTTTTAACTACGGCCCGATGTTTCGTGTCGGAACGATCTCCAGTGCTTCGGAATTAAATTATTTTTTCCCTTACTTTTATTGTTTCAATTCTACTTAAAAGTATCAAAAACGTATAGATACTAGAATGTATGTCTAGTATCTATACAAAGTCACAACTAATTACTAATACTAAACTAATTTTCAGCCTGTGGTTTTTTTAATAACCAAAGACAAGAGAGATGGAAAACATTCATCCCTAGTTTTAAAAAAATATTTTTAGATTGAAAATAACTTGAATCTGCGTCCACGGCGTTTCGTGCTGTTGCTGTATCTCATTGAGCTACCGTCTCTTACACCTCATTTTCGAATTTTTCAACTTATTGATACATGTACCTCTCGCGCAATGTAATTTCAACCTTCACATTCTCGTACTAAGGAACACTGTGGATGCGAGTTCAAGCCCTGTCCGTAGAATCTAAATTCGATTGTTATGTAATATGAAAATAATATGTAAAAAATATTAAAGTTTTCAAAAGTATATCGACGTTTATTTAAAACTAGCGGTGCTAGCGTCCGCGCAGAATAGTTTTTTGGGCATCCAAATTCGTTTTTGAAAACCCCTCCTTTTTTATAAAAAAAGTTTTTTCCCCCCCCGTCGGTCCGTCCTTCCCGTCGTTCTTGCAAGTTAATCTTAAAAGATAGACATAAAGCATTGCGGACATTTTTAGGTTATTGAAATATATACAACTCAATTTTTTCACGCGAGTAGTACACTTTTAAAAAAACCCTTTTTCGGTTTTTTACTTTTTTTTTTTTTTTTTTTTTTTTTTTTCTTTCTCTTTTTCCCCCCCCCCCCCCCCTTCCTCCCCCCCCCCCCCCGGGCGGGGGGGGCGGCAGTTTTTTTTTTCTTTTTTTTTTTTTTTTGGGTTAGTGGATTTCATGCTGTATCGTCGCTTGTATTAGTCACGCGGCCACAAATTTTTCTCAATTTTTTTACATTTCAGCCTTCGCTTGTATTAGTCACAGGGCACACATAGCCCAAAGCCCTTCCTCGATAAATGCTTTAACCAACACGAACCAACCAAAAATAATTTTATTCGCACCCGCGTTCAAACAAACAAACTCTTCAGCTTTCTATATTAGTATAGATAGCTATGAGCAAAAAAATACACAGATTGTTGTCTTTTCGATAAAGTTACTCTCAAGGTGCCTTTAAAAGTAACAATCGCTTGATGAATAAATCTTTCAATTCAACGTATTCTAATGAATTCGCTGAAAACCTTCCCCGAACGATTTCATTTGACAACTTTCGCGTGAAAATGATGAAAACTTTTAACGAGGCCCGTTCTTATTTTGAATGTTCGCAGTAAATGTTGAATTACCCGCAAGACAATTTCTATTAAGGAGTAAACTTGTAAACATATTGTATATTAGTATATCTACACTGGATTGAATAGAAAAACCTTAAGCACAAGTAAATATATTAAGTTAAGAATAGAAGGATTTTGATACATATATTGTATGTCTGTTATGGACACAAGTATTGTTATACTTATTATTATGTAGCTCGGTACCTAAAACTTAGTTTAACACATACTTTTTCAAATCTGAAGTAAATCCCGAGGGCGAAGAGGTACAGTAGCGCACAAAAGTTTGTGCTCATAAAGTTACGCAAGAAGTAGGGAGATATAAAATATGTTTCTTTATATGATAGAGGAGGATAGACTAACATAGTGTATACTGGGGAAATAATCTGGGGAGACATAACTTTTAAACAAGATGTGCTATCGACCTATTTTAGCTTTGGAAATTCGGAAATCCACAGACAGAAACCGAAACGCGAATAAACTTATCGCCTTCTTCATCTGTGGACGGTGATCCGTGAACTGGTCACGAAATTATTATTATTTTTTACTAATTTTTCTCCTTGGCAATACAGCGGTGCATGTATTAATCAAAGTTGAAAAATTCTACAATGACGTGATGAGGACTCGGTACGACAATTAGTTCGAGCAACAGCACGGTACGCTGACGATGCCGGTTCAAGTCCTGCCCAAGTAGAAAATTTTTTCAATTTATTTTCGATTTTTAAATTGTGTAATGCTTTCATGTAAAAAAATATTAAAGTTTTCAAACGTTATAACTTTGTAATTTCATCTTCAATCATTTCATATAGTGCCATTATGTGCAATAGCCCGCGTGCGGTTTGCACATTAGGGAAATATCTTTAGCACAGTCGCCAAAACTGAATACTGAAAGTCTTACCACATTACCAGGTTTCGAGACAACTTCCAGCATCCATACACAGATTATATAACGATTTTTCACGATTTATTTATTTATTTCTTTACAACAATTAAAACGGCAATAGCCAGTTACATTAATTGGACGATATTGGGGTTTTAGATTAGCACGCATATGATTTAATATATTATGGAGTATATGCGATGGTATCTTCGAGTAGAATGCGGCTTCTGCCTTCGCCCACCACAGCACCCGATTGGCTAGAAGATTTCGTATCGATCCTAACCTAGCGATCTAACATTAAGTTTCCTCCGCTTATCGCTAGATGGCGTTAGTGGTGCCGAAACACCACGTGAACGAATATTTAAATGTTTTCGATTACACCTGTTATTTAACATGTTTATCTATCTTTTCTCGTGTGGATTGAAATAGTGTTTCCTATTCCTACAAAGAATGAAATATAGACCGCATTTCTTCGTTTAATGCATAACATTTCTCTTATTAGCAGAGCGATCAGAATGTAAGGAGTTACAAAATCCTTTTGCATAAAATTTAGAGAGATACACTTTGAGCCTTGAGAAGACTTACCTTTGCGAGTTAAGGCCGTTGTCCGTCGTCATTGTTATACCACAGAACCTGTAACAAATTCACAGATAATAGAATACAAACTCCTTATATTTTTCACTAGCTGTGTCAGCGACTTTGTACGTGTAAATTTTACCCACGACGTCGGTCGCTTCAATAAACGGACTAACTCTAGAGCTTCATAAATTAGTATAGATGATATTAACTAGATATTTCTTTAGTTTACAAAAATGATTGAAACAAAACCATCAAGTACCTCTTCACAAATGCGTCTACAATTGATTTTCTTATGATAGAGGAGGAGGAGAAAATACCCCAGCCATTAAACATGTAAACAGGATGCTTTAGCAATTCCAGAATCCACAGAAACCGAAACGCGATCAACGCCTTTTCCATCTGTGAACTAACCAAAAGCTCAGCTTCTGGGTTCGAATTACGATGTCAAGTGAAAAATTATCTGGGTCAAGGAGAGTTCAAAAATAATAAATGAGTATAGAAACAAGAAAGCTCCATAAAAGGAACATTTGAGTTTAAATAAAACACTTTAACGGTTTAAAACGTGATATATTAGTTAAACTTATTTGAAAATTTTTTTTAACTTCGGGCCGACGTTTCGGATGCTTGCAGCAGCCGTAACCCAGGACTACAAAGCATCCGAAACGTCTGGCCGAAATTAAAATCATTTTTAAATAAGTTTAACTAATATATCGCGTTTTAGACCGTTAAAGTGTTTTATGTAAATGTGTACTACTCGCGTAGACTATAGACAGTATTTAACGTTAGAGTTATTTATACGCGGGTAGTTAGAAAAGAAGACAACGCAACAAAAAAAATTTACTAAAAAACTGAGACCACTTATAACCCTCAATACAATGAAAATCAAAAGAATTTATGTACTATAGTTAAACACACATTAGGGCCATTAAGTAGTGTAGTTTCCGAGAGTTGAACGAATTTAAATATAACGGTTTTAACGGTTTAGTACGAGGGGTGTATCAGTTGATTTACTACTCGCATTACAAGAGTACAAATATATTTCGCGTTTAAACCGTTTAAAAATAGTTTTATTAATTTAGACTTCAAATTACCAGTAGAGCATGACTGTTGAGATCTCGGGATAGGATAGGATATTAGTCGGCTCATGTTATAAAACCGATTAATAATCGAATATTTAATAATCGACCGTCTCCTTCGTCCAAAAGAATTTAATTGAAATTATTCTAGACTAATATTGTAAGTAAAATTTGTTGATTTCCATGTTGATCTATAACAAGCCCGTATTTATTATGTTTTAAGGATAAAGATAATAGTTTAGAGTTATATTGAGAGGGAAAATATAATTAAAACGTATTTTCACGTGGGTACAAATATTTATGCCTACACTAAATAACTAGTATTAATATTGAGATTTCCTACCAATTCCAAGATTGACAATATTTCAAAATTTACGTACCCTATTTACCAGTTCTACTTAGTGACGAAGCAAAAACTAAGAACTGGCAAGAAACTGGCCGTCAGTGTTTTTAACGCCAAGATAGTAAAGTTGAAAATGTTTTTACTCAAACGTGCTTGGAAGTTTGAGCTTTATTTTGTCAACCTTCTTCGAGATCTACTGGTTGAGCGGCGGCCGGCAATGGTTATTTGAAAATATATATCTGTCGTGTTAGCGGCCAAATAAATTACTATGTAATATTAATTTGTCGTGTAATTTATAAATCGAACGATCGTTTACTCCGCAACATGGCGACAAAGAGGTAACTTACCAGAGGTCTTATTTAAATTTCGAACTGACTTGCACATAGAAAGCTGTTTATTAAAAAATAAAAAAGGAGCGTAAAATCTATTGTCATTTGTTCTATTTGATACTTCCAGAGTTCATAATAATTGTACGTCTTAATTTCCGCGCATAAATTTTGAAATATACTATACATGCCTTTTATGTGTGTCATATGTATGTTAGTCCATCATTGCCTCTCTTGCCAGCCTCAGCAGTAATGTACTATTGAACACCTAACATTAATAAAGAGAACTCTACGTTCGTAATCCTTGTAAAAAAATGACTTTTCCATACTAAACTGTAGATTGTAAAACAATGATAATGTAGAGATGAATTAAAAATGAAATTATCAAGTCGTTAATGAGATAAAGGCGAAGAATAATTAAACTTTATATCGGTCTATACGACGGAAATAAACTGAGTTAACAAGGCACATTTCATTGGTAATAACGCTAATTAGTACTTAATTATGAAGTTTCCGGAATAATTCAGTTATTATTGGCAACATCAAGCGCTATTGTAACACAAGATTACGCCTATATCCTATATATAGAACTTAGAAAAGAAAACAGTATTACAAATTTTTGAGGGTTCATTAAAATAATTTATAAAACCGCCCAAAGCCAGTTAGTTAGATTAATTGGACAGTAGAACAAAGAAATAAATAGTTATACTTAGTAATACTAGGACTAGGACATAATTTAGAGGCTGACAAAAGACAACAATCGACGGGTAATCGGTTCGTTTCCCACCGGGGCGAACATTTTTTTAAATCAATTTATAATTTATCTGGAAATCTGGATATGAAATAGGCGATAGGAATATCGAAATTCCGTCCGGGTCACTAATTAGCGACTATAGATGAAAAAGCCGTCAAGTTTAATTGCCTTTCAAGTTCTCTCTGAGGATTTCCGAATATCTCAAGCCAAAATAGGACGAGATCGAATATGAGAATACTACTTTTTTATAATATGTAGTAATTTTTTTTACAATGTGGCATTACAAAATACAAGCTTAAATATTCACCTTTCTATCACCCCCTACTATTAATAGTAGTCTTATTATATTAATAATTTTTCACTACAGAATTATCATCTGGTAACTGTCACACAAACAGTAGAAATGCCCTAGAAATAATTTATATGGCAAAACAACGTTTGCCGGGTCAGCAATCAACAATAAACTATGACTATAGAATATCACGTATCCAACTCCACATAGCTAATCTGAGATTATAAATTCTATTTGTATATCTCAGACAATAAACGAAAAGCCTCCGTCGTCGTCACACACGGAGTGTGCATACAAATTAACGTTTATCGTGTCCCGATTGTAGTCGTGGTCTCGTCTGCAATTTCTGGATATTAAAATAGCATATTTAAACTTCTTAAAATTGATGAGGAAGTGTTTTGGGAATTTTCAATATGCCATTGCTCTTAACACCACCAGTCATATCAATTTTTGTGCCGTGACTGGCCGAAACTATTGTGTTCGAAATTTGAAACTAGGATATCTCTTTCATTTGAAAGTGGTTAGTTGTTAATACAACATAGAAAGACCCAGACTATATACCCTGTATATTGCTAACACTGTAGGTAGAAATTAGGGCAGACGCATTTATATTGCTGTTTTATCACTCGATTGTATATATAGATGACCAGAATTTTAGGTGGAAACATTTGATGCTCAGTTTTCCGGTTTCAAATTCAGACGCGTCTATCGGGTGGAGATTGATAAGGTTTTGAAAAATATTTGATTCATACAATATTAAATCATCGAATTTGTTAAACGACACACACGATTTTATTTTATACCTTTAATACGTCAATACCATATTAAGGAAAGGATTGAAATAGTGTAAGTTTGAAAACATTAATATTTTTCACATGTAATTGCACATGAAGGCACTATATAATTTAAAAATCGAAAATAAATTGAAAAAATTCTCGACTCGGGCAGGACTTGAAACGGCATCGTCAGCGTTCCGTGCTGTTGCTCTACCAATTGAGCTACCGAGCTGGTATTTTTGATTTTTAAATTATATAGTGTAAGTTTCTTAGCACACCTTAAAACCATTACAGTACATTTTGTATAGCTTGCTTACTTACTTACCTCACTTACGTATAATATACAAAAAATATACGGTTAATATAAATATTACTTCAAAATCGAGAGTATCACCAATTCCCCTCCCCTCTCAGGGGCGATCATAACTTCGACCTCTTTGTATTGCATTGTATGGAAATGTCAAAGTTCATTTAGCGATGCCCGAACGATGGAAAAGACTTGTGCTATATAACGTATTCCTTTTCGTTTCTGGTTCTGAATTATTCTTGGAATTCCATATATATTGCTTTTTTCTTCTTCGTTTTTCGTTTTAAGGGAAGCCACTCTTTACAGTATCGTGAAAGTGGGCATTGATGAGTCATCATAAATTAATTTTTTAAGGCTTTCACGGCCATCGTTCAGCATATCATTGTTTTTCGGGAAATTAATTATAATTCTTCGAGCAATCGAGTTAACATCTCCTGATGTTGCCGTCCGCACGTGATGGCGAAACGTCGAGAACCTCTTCTCGCTCACGTCGGCCGAACAGCCCGAAAAGCAATGATACTCTAAAGCGTCTTGCGATGCCTAAAGGAAGCAGAGGTGCTTCGAATCCGAGGAATACAATCTTATAGAACATAGCATTTACTGTAATAACATAAAACCTTGAAAACAGACAAACTATCCCGTAAGAACAAGAAGAACAAGAGATTGTTGTTACATTTCTTTTTATGATACAGGAGTACAGACAATGGTCCACCTTGATGGTGGGCGAAATACCCCAGCCATCTAAACAAGATGTGCTGTTGACTTATTTTGATTTGGATATTACGTAATCCACAGATTAAAACCGAAACGCGATAACTGTAAACGATTTTTCATCTGTTTACGGTGGTTTGTGACCCGGACGAAATTTTGATTTCTAGTATCCATTTAATATCCAGGTTTCTAGATGACGTCAAACGTGTTTCAGAAAAAATATAAATTGATTAGAAAAATATTGGACCTGGTGGGGATCTAACCTATAAACCATAGATTACGAGCGATACATAGCTACCACCAACAAGCCCGTCAAACATTAGACACAGATATGTTTTAATAATATTGCGATAATTTACAATGAATAATTGTGTACAACATAAAGAAAATGATGATGTCGCTTTGTAAGTTGATGATGTGTAAAGTCTTAATATCGAAACACTAGTTTTGTCA